CCCCAAACAGTCCAGATTTAAATGTCCTAGACCTAGGATACTTTAATTCAATTCAAAGCCTACAAAGTCAAAAGCTTACTCGCACAATTGAGGAGCTTGTTGATGCTGTAGAGTGCTCATTTCATGAGCTGCCTTTTGATACACTGTCGAAAAACTTTATCACTTTGCAAAAGGTGATGGAGATGACTCTTCAGAGTATGGGAAGGAACGATTACAAGTTCCCTCACATGCGAAAGGATGCTATGATTAAGGACTTGACATTATTCAACGTCAAATGCGATGCAACCGTGCACGAGAACGCACTTGCATTCATGAATGCCACTTGAATTCCCAAGTAGGAGTACTAATTTGAATGTAATATAATGTCATTATATTTTTGTGTCGCAATATGTAATCTCAAAGGTCAATACAAACTTTAAGATATTTTCAAGCAGTCAACCATACTTTAATCAAGATAAACAAACCGACCTCTTTTCCCGGAACAGAGTAGTACAACTTAACACCGTTACAGTATTGCAAAGTCAGAAGGTAACAATGAACAAAGTCCACAAAACTGAGCCTCCTTCCTACATGCTGTCATTTCATAGATCCATCACAATAATCCCTCGGTACGTTGAAGCGCAGTATGCGCCACATTCCAGCACCATAGTACATACTAGTAACTGTCAGCGGCCTCACGATATGCGATGTGCTCCTACACGTGCGTCCAACGATAGTAGCCAGCTACAACTTGTCTACATTTGCTAAACGACTACATATGTAGCGGGCAGGTAGGTTTGCAGTCGCGAACCCCTGCTCGACTCTTTTTGTGTGCTTATTAGTCTGTCACGACTGTAGGGTAGGTTGCCATGATTTCCCCTGAGAAAACTCCGACAAGGTTATGCAATTACCAAGAGCGAAGCAGCCTCATCCGGACCTTGCATGCATTTGCAACACCAAGCCAACATAAGCCACCCATGCCCTAGCCTATGTGGAAAGTAGTTTCCCGTTTCAGATGGCGTGATCAAATGCGACAGGCGTCGAGGTAGACTGGGCCATAGAAGCAGGGAATGATCAACACAACGTCGAGCTCATGTCAGCTTTATGTTGTTGAAAAAACGTAGCCCACTGAGATTCCAAAGAGCAAAGTCGGCACAACCAATAGCGTGATGTACAGTGATGCCATGGAAGGACGAATTTTGATGGCTTTGCATTTTGAGAGGTTGACGATTGACATTATTTCCCCCCACTGGAGGGTAGCCTTAGGTGTTGACCGAGTACCTGTGGCCACACTTCTTACACTCGTAAAAGACTGTTTGTCCTTCGTCTGCCGATCGCAGCTGCAGCGTGTAAAATTCCATTTCCGGATGTCCACACTTTGGACATGTTTCTTCGACCTAATAGCAGCCACAACAAGTCCTCAATCATCCGATGTCGAGGTAGCGCTATCGATAGCTCCAATCGCATGACGCACCGTGGCACGAGACGGCCCCGTGACTTCTTGAGACTGGATATCTTCTTTCACCCACTTGGGTTCACGTCGGTCTTGGCTGTACGTGACGGTGGTGAGCGACGGCAAATCTACAGCACAGTCTTAGCTCTTGCTGTCGTCGCCAATGAAGATGGTGGTTGCACCTGTGTACCGGCACGTGAAGCCACAGGATGAGCACACAATGGAGTTGGTCTCGGGCAAGTCCAAGATAGACCCGCAATGCGGGCAGAACGACGGGCCGGTCGACGCGGTGTTGCGCGCAAAAAACGCGTCCATTCGGCTTCAAATGAGGTTTGGTGGCGGTGACCACGTGCTTAACCGGATGGCGGTCAGCCAACCACCAGTGAAAAGGAACCGGCGTATACGGATAATAACCGGATACCTTCGAACGAGATAAACGTTTCGCGTATCACGTTGAATAGGTTTATCGGCGGAATCACCAAAGAGAAGGCTAGCTACTCCAGAGTAGTACCGGTACTGTAGGTATTGTGTGCATAGTAAACCGGTTACGGGCGTGTTATGTACAATGCCGCCACTGGCTTTTTTGTTGATTCTTATCGTTTAGTATGAGGTGTGCGACCTCTGTTGCTGAAAACCGACGAAATCAGGTCGAAACTTGATGTACTACTTACTGGTAGTACTTAGAACGGTTTCGGTACTACGGATCGATAAACTCGTTTCACCGATAAGACGTTAAACGAGTTAAATTCGAACGGAGGGTGGTGTTATCGACACCCACATCCCTCGATACAAGCACAAGATATGCATGCACCCATGGCTTCCATTTCGAATTAATTCGCCATGAAGTTAGGACTGACTGCAATTGCCGCCGCCGCCGCGATGTTTTGGGCGGATGGAACCGTGGCCTTCCCGGCGCACAAGGGCGGCGCTTCGTGCTGCAAGCGTACAATGAACGGCCGAGAGCACTTGCATCCAGCGCGGCATCCCGTGGACGCGCCGACGGACAACGAACGACACGAGATTGACAACGTCTTTCCAAGAGCATTTGACTGGTGCGAGCAAGGCTTTTGCGGTCCGTCGTGGAACCAGCACATTCCGCAGTACTGCGGCAGTTGCTTCCTTCACGGCGCCTTGTCCAGTGCCCAAGATCGCATCAAGATTCTGCACAAGAAGAAGGGGTTCACCGGCGCCGACGTCACCCTCGGTCGCCAGAGTTTTCTCAACTGCGCGCCGGGTCACAACTACTCGGCCGGATGCAACGGCGGCGAGGCCATCGACGTGTGGCGCTTCATGCAGGACTACGGCCTGCCCGACGAAACCTGTTTGCCATACAACGCCACCGACCACACCAAATACAACTCGACCAACGGAACGTGTCCGCCCGAAGGCTACTGCATGAAGTACGTACAGTACCTCATATCGACATGCCATCGTTGTTTCCTATATACAGTAGGGGTACAGTGTCGATGGGTTCTCCTGGACATGTTGATATCCTTGCTGATATATGAACCTACAGATTCCCTTTCGTCTTTTACTACTTCGAAATAGTACTTGATTAGCTAGTATCTGGGACTGTTGATTGACATTGCACATGGACTTTGCCGTGTGAAAACGATATATATCACTTTTGAATTCCGGTTTCCGTGCCTAACTCAACATTGCATTCATTTCGTTGCAATAAAAAAGCCTACTTGGTGAAATTGTTATTTATTTAGGTCATCCAGATAATTATATTCCAGTATATTTTCTTCAAAATCTTCAATAACTCAATTTTTTTTTAAATAAAGGTTCTTTTTCTATTCTTAACTACTGTAGTATATCGTACACAATTCACACAATCCATTCCTCGTCACCCGTTGTTAGCTGCATGTACACCCCCGAGCTCCCGTTGAACGCAACGTGTTTTCCAGTCGAGAAGATGATTCGGTATCGCGCCAAGTCGTTTGGCGCCGTCCGAGGGGAACATGCGATGCTCAAGGAGTTGCAGCGGGGCCCCATTACCTGCGGCATCGCATGTAGCGACGGCTTCACGTACAACTACTCGGCTGGCATTTTTCACGACACGACTAACTTTATGGACATTGACCATGACGTGGAAGTCGTGGGATGGGGCGAACAAGATGGCGTCAAGTTTTGGCATGTTCGCAACTCGTGGGGCTCGTACGTACAACTAGTGAATTTACTCTGTACAAATAAATGCATGTCTCAATTTGAATGTTTTTTCATTCACATTGGTGAATTTTATGAAGTAGTCTATATATGTTATTTGTTCTTTTTGTGTGTGTGTGTACAGTATGTTTACAGGTAGTAAGTACTTCGGAGTATTCTGTACATAAAAAATATGCATGTGTTGTACATCTCATGTTGAATTCGCGTTTGTTCATTTTATATTTTATATTTTATATTATTCTGTATTTTCTTTATGCATTTGCTGCTCATTATATTTTTTATGTATTGCATTCTAATATACTATTAGTATTTGAATAGTTGGATGTTTGAATTCTACTATATTCATATTTTTTGTATCCACGGGAAAAGCAAAGTGCATTGTGAACCCCTACAATCTACTACTAGTACTACTAGCCCACGACAACGATACTATTATAGTAGTAGTAAACAAGTGCGATGATGGTTCAAGTTGAATCAAATGCGTGAATGGTGACAAAGGTAACGCAATGTGGTAGGTATTGGGGCGAGAACGGCTTCTTTCGCATCGTTCGGGGCATCAATAACCTCGGCATCGAAGCCGACTGCACGTTTGTCGACCCTGAGATTGGCGAAGAGGACCTTGTGTGGGACCAAAGTCCGGCCTACGGGGGGTCCATCTGGGGCATTCGACCTTATAACAAGGTCAAGGCGGTCGAGCATCCGATACTAGACTCGGGGGACGTCACTTCGTTCAATCAGCCAGGTTCGTTGGATGTGCAAAGGATTCGTGTAGTACTACTACTAGGTGTGGAGGATCAACTAACGTGTGACTAGTGCCAGAAGGAGACGACCACCCTCCACTTTACGCGGCGATGGATGCAAAGTCCGAGGTGCCGATGCTCACTGCGTTCGTCCACTATGCTGTGGTTGTGGCATTTGGAGTGGTGCTGATGGTGTTTGCAACAATCTTGTCACGACGACGACCCATGACGTACAGCCGCATTCGCTGATTCACTTGGGCATTGAAATGACGAGTTTATGAGATATATAATATATATATACTTCACGTTAAAATGGAAGCTTTTGTGGGGGTGAAAGTTGAAGCCCGCTGTGGCCACGCCGTTTGAACGTTAAGCGAATATGATGATGGGCAGCGGTGGGCGTCATAGCTGTCCATCATCGTCGTGATTAATTGAGTTTGGATTATCATTTTTAAGACATTCCTAACCGATCCACAATCGATCTGATTGGTTGAATTTCATTGAGAAGGTTTTGATTGGTTAATATTTTGAGCTCGTCTGAGGTAGCCAATCAAATCGATTTCAATTCCAACGAGAAACCACGCCCATATCGTCGTGAGACCGTCATTCTTTGAGCAAAGTCACCAAAACCACCTCGCTTCCACTTGACGCTACTAGTAGTACTAGTATACGTATAGTAGCCACAGACGGATGGGGCTTCCATGTGTGAAGGCATCGACAGATATACTTGGTGTCTGACTTGGGGTTGCAATGGCCATGCAATGCTTACATTATGGCTTGCACTATCCAGTACTGTACTACGTAGTACTACTTCGTAAGTACTAGTAAAGAAAGGCCACATTACACCTAAAAAACATACACTCTTCCAACAAACCAATCACATGCGTGTTGATGGTCGTGGACTGTTGCAGTCCCACTGCCATCATCCAAGAAGTCTGGTATGTCAATACTGTCAGTTTTCAATTTCAAGTCAACATGATTGGCAAACAAGAACAACCAACCTACGCGTTCGTCGACACACCCAAAGAAGAGAGTGGTGGCCGTCCCTCGGACTCTGCGTTGATCCAAGACCAAAACCTTCCAGCTAAATGCAGTACCGCGCAACTCGCCCCGTTTCGCCAACTGTTCCAATTTGCCGATGCCACCGACATGGTTCTCATGGCGGTAGGCACGCTGTCGGCCATCGCGACGGGGTTCAGCCAGCCCCTTCAAATCGTGTTTTTTGGGGACCTCATCAACGTGTTTGGGTCGGCTAGTTCTGGTTTCGACCTAAACATATTTGAGCGTGAGATGAACGAGGTCGTGTTCAAGTTTATCGGCGTGGCAGCGGCCATCCTTGTCAGCGGGTTTGGCCAGATCGCGTGTTGGTCGATTGCATCTTCTCGTCAGACAAAGCGGCTGCGCGAGGCGTACGCGGCGGCCATTCTGCGCCAAGACATTGGCTGGTTTGACGTCCACGAACCCGCACAACTCGCAACCAACGTGGCCGACTCAACGTTGCTGGTACAAGAAGGCATGGGGCGTAAGATCGGCGACGGCATCAACTTCGTCGCGATGGCTGTTGGGTCGATCGTATTGGCGTTCACGTATGGTTGGGAGCTCGCGCTTGTCCTTATTGCGTTCACACCCCTCATGGGGGCGAGCGCGTTTTACATGTCCAAAGCCATCACTGTAGCAGTGCAGAGCGCTGTGACGTCGTACGCCCAAGCAGGGGGCATCGCCGAGGAGAGTTTGGCCAATGCCAAGACGGTGCACATGTTCAACGCGGTGGCCGACAGGGTGGATAAGTACAAAGACGCCCTCCAACACACTCAACGTGCGGGGGTTGCAAAGGGCATTGCGGTGGGCGTCGGCACCGGCGTCATGTACCTGATCATGCTGGGCACGTACGCCCTGGGCATGTATTATGGCACCGTCAAAATCACCAACGACCAGCTGGGCGACAACGTGTGCACGGGCAGTCGCTGCTACGACGCCGGGCGCGTAATCACCGTGTTCTTTTGCGTCGTCATGGGCTCGATGGCCATCGGCCAAGCCGGGCCTAGCATTCAAGCCATCGCAACCGCGCGCACTGCCGCGTTCGACATCTTTGCACTACTAGCGCGGACGTCGGCGGTCGACGCATCGTCCACCGTGGGCCTTAAATTGGACACCGTACGAGGTGACATTGCGTTGGAACACGTCGAGTTTGCGTATCCGTCTCGACCCCATGTCAAGGTGTGTGCAGGGTATTCGCTCGTGGTTCCGGCGGGCCAGACGCTGGCGTTGGTCGGAGCCAGTGGCAGCGGCAAGTCGACTATCGTCGGGCTGCTGGAGCGCTTCTACGACCCCCTTGGTGGCCGCGTGTTGTTGGACGGTCACGATTTGAAGACGTTGAACGTGCAGTGGCTGCGCACGCAGTTTGGGCTTGTGGGGCAAGAGCCAACGTTGTTCGCTGACACCATCGCCGGCAACATCCGCCACGGCCGACCCGACGCGAGCTTGGACGATGTCATCCAAGCTGCCAAGCAGGCGAATGCATACGACTTCATCGTGGGTTTCCCCCTCGGGTTTGACACCCCCGTGGGCCACCAAGGCGCGCAAATGAGCGGCGGGCAGAAGCAACGCATTGCCATCGCCCGGGCGATCATCAAGAACCCCGCCGTGTTGCTCCTCGACGAAGCCACCAGTGCGCTCGACACGGAAAGCGAGCGGGTCGTGCAAGCGTCGCTGGACCGCCTGGTTGCGATGCGAAAACGCACGACGATCGTCATTGCCCATCGCCTGTCGACCATTCGGCACGCGGATCGAATTGTCGTGCTCGAAACTGGCCGAGTGGTCGAAGACGGTACCCACGACAGCCTCGTGCAGCTCGAGCATGGCTTGTACCACGCGTTGGTTCAGGCTCAAGAGCGCCGTGCGTCCCCCTCGATCGACCAACGCCAGTCCCTCAACGTCCGCACAATTCCGTCAAAGGAAGCGTCCGTTGTGGCTCCTTCCTCTGGGGAGACAAATCATGACGGCAAGAACACCATCGTGGGGGCTATAACTAGTAGTGCAAATGCGTCGATATCCGGCTGCAACGACGATGAGAACACGACAACTGAGCCGGTGCCAATCTCGAGGGTGTGGCGGCTAAGTGCCCCGGAATGGTGGCATGTGCTTCTTGGGAGCGTGGGGGCGATCCTGCACGGCAGTTTGTACCCAGTGTGGGGGGTCATCCTCACAAAATGCACGTTGGTGTTCTTCCAAGTAAACCTCGGCATCGACGGTATGCGGTCGGAGTCGCTCAAGTGGTCGATGGGGTTTGTGGGTCTAGGGGTCGCCATGTTGATTGCCGTGACAATTCAAAAGCATCAGTTCTCAATCGTGTGCGAAAGACTGACCACACGCATTCGAGTCATGTGCTTTGGGGCCATGTTGCGTCAGGACATGGCGTGGTTCGACGACCCCCTCCACGCCCCGGGGGCCCTCACCACGTGCTTGGCCACTGACTCCGCTGCCATCCAGACAATGACAGCCGAGACGTTAAACGCCATCTTACTCAATGCGTCGACGTTGGGGGTGGCGTTGGGGGTATCGTTCTACTATAGCTGGCGGATGACGCTGGTGTTTATGGCCGTGATTCCGCTCATGGGGGTCGCTGCCGCACTTCAAATGCAAATGGAGACGGCGCAAACTGGCAAAGGGGGGGGAAACGATGGCGACATTCAAGCTGGGGCGGTGCTCAGCGAAGCCATCCACGCGATCCGGACCGTCGCATCGTTCAACCTCGAGCGCCGGACGCAAGATGTGTACATGGCGCAGCTCCAACGAAGCGCAGCGTTGGATCGAAGGGCGGGGTACAGAGGGGGTGTCGCGTACTCGGTGGCCCAGTCGTCGGTGCTGTTTGCGATCGCCGCCGTGTTTTACTATGGGGGGTATCTCGTCCGGCAGTCGCTTCTGGACTTTGAAGGCATGTTTATGGTTCTCAACTCGATCTTGTTTTGCTCGTTTGGCGTGGGGATGGCGGCGCAAGCGCTGGGGGATATCAGAAGTGCCAGAAAGTCCATCACGCGTATCTTTTCTATTGTTGACCAACAACAGACTATCGACACCGACTCGACGACCGGACTCGTTCTGTCGCATGTTGATGGCGTCGTCGAGTTTAAAAACGTCGCGTTCAGCTACCCCAGTCGACAGCAAAGTGCCATATACACGAATTATTCGCTCAAAATCGAAGCGGGGCAGACGGTGGCGTTGGTGGGGGGGAGCGGCAGCGGCAAGAGCACAGCCATCAACCTCATCGAGCGGTTCTACGACCCCACGGCGGGCTCCGTCACACTCGACGGACACGACATCACAACGATTAACTTGCACTCGCTGCGCAGCCACATTTCCCTCGTGAGCCAAGAGCCCGTGCTATTTAGCGGTACCATTGGAAGCAACATTGCCATGGGCAAGCGAGGGGCCACCCAGGCGGACATTGAAGACGCAGCCACGAAAGCCAACGCGCACAACTTTATCCTTCAGTTTCCGGACGGGTATGACACGCCTGTGGGGGATCGGGGGGTCCAGGTGTCTGGGGGGCAAAAGCAGCGCATCGCCCTCGCCCGCGCCATCATTCGCGATCCAGCCATCTTGCTGTTGGACGAAGCCACGAGTGCCTTAGACAACGAAAGCGAGCGCATCGTCCAAGCGTCATTGGATCAACTTTTGCAGATGAAACGCCGCACGACCATCGTTGTGGCCCATCGGCTGTCGACCATTCGACATGCCGACGTGATTGCCGTCGTGGACGGAGGCGGGATCGCAGAAATCGGGACCCACGACCAACTTGTAGCCATTCCCAAAGGCATGTATGCCAATTTGGTTGCGCGCCAAATGATGCAATGAGCTAGCTGGCTTGGCGGAGAACTCGAGTCGTTGGTGTTATTCTTACTACGTACTACTAGTCGTAATTAATAATATATCATCTGCCTTTAAATAGTGCTATCAAGCTGCACTGTTGAAGCTTCCGGGGGGGTCTCAAGCGTTCGTCTTACTAGTATGTATATTATGGCCACGGCCGTCGATTTGCGAACGTTGAGATATGTTGTTGCGTACGTCGCGACGAATTCCCCTAATTGTCCACACTTGAGGGAAGAATGCAGGGTTGTAATGAGGCCAGTATTACGTTTTGGCAATGGATGTCACTTAACATATCACGCCAAATGCTTGTGAATGTACAGCAATGTCATTGGTGTAGCTGCTTAGTCTGGGTGCATGGTGCTGGAAAGACTTGCCCTTTCAAAGGTTATATTACGGAAGTAAAGGAATTGCAATTGCGGGTCAGGGCAGTGAAATGTTCGTGAGGACTGGATTCTTTTCCCCTTGACCAGTCCACGGTTTTGATTGGCACGAAACCGAATGGAAACCCAAGCTCCACTTCAATTTTGACCATGCACTAAAAATGCCTAATTATACACAAACATCCTTGTTGAACGAACCAGGTACGTTGTAACAACGTGCATGTTACCAAACGTCGAATTAACAGCGGCTTTTAATTTGGACAGTTTGGCTACATGACGTGCTCCAAGGATGCCCACGACCGGCAGTGTCATTCATTCACACACGAAAGATCATTAAACACACCAAGCCTGCCCACCACGAACTAGAGCTTTGCATGGCTATCACTGCAACCTTTGAGGTCCACGTAGCACAAGACTGTGGCCACGTTTGGAGTACAGCCACGTTCGCCTTCGCACCAGACACGTCGGAGTTGCACGTGTCGATAGATGGCGTCGCGAACTGCGACCACAGGTTCCCGCTGGCCGAAGGCTGCAGTCTCGACGCGTTGAGTAACCGCACGTATCTTCTGCGACATCGTTCGTTTCCTCACCAGGTGCTCTTTCGAAGTCCTCGCCAGGCAGCCACAGCACTCGACGAGTTTATGATGGCGCTGCGAGCCGTGCTGACGACGCCCTACTGGTCGCTCGCACGTCGCCAAGTGGAAGTATTGGTGCAAACTACAGCTGAAGCGGGGGGAGGTGGGGATGTCGACGACGACGATTTGTGGGAGGTCCGGCAATTGGTCCTCTGGGGCAAGTCGCTGAGTGTGTTTCGAAATCACGAATGCCTCCACGTGTACAACACGAACCAGGGCACCGTCGAGCCCATCCACCACCTGTCGTTCCGGTGGGTTGGATCGCCGACGTTTGTCTTTCGAAGCCCCGACGCCATCCACCGATGTCGGTTTCTCGAAGCGCTCGTCCGTGCCATGTCCCCATCCACCGAAGCGGAAGGCGGTGTCGACAACTCCGAATCCGTTTCAACGCGCCAAGGAGCAGCAGCACAAGTGGACGCGTTGCTCAAACGACCTCACGACAACACGTCGACCAGTCATTCCACCAGCAAGGCCATCCCGACGATGGGGGTGTCACCACCATTTCCTGCAGTTGCAGCGTCATAATGCAATTTCACTCGTGTCCTTTGAATATGACCGATAGAGGTCCACACCATTGTACCTTTATACCCTTAGCAGTTTGTGTTCACTTCCCAAGACTACCATCATACGCGTCGCTCCAAAGCCCTCGATACCCAGATCGCACGGAAGTGTCAATGAAAGGAGACATCCCCTCACGGGACACTTGATCGGGTCACACGAAGTCCAAAGTGATAGAATTCGTTTCGCGCGGTAGGTTGTAGCGGCACACTTCCCTCAGCTAGGGATAATGAATCTAAAAGTGAGTTACTCCACTGACTAAAGTTGCTACTGGTAGATCTCGTAGCCTATCAGAAGATCATATATCCTTCTCGATCTCTCTCCCTTTCTCATGTGTACACTTACGGCGTACTGGTTCTAGCAAAATGAGTAGTGATAAAACCAACTTCCAACACAAAGTTGTACCTTGCACCTTTGACAGAAACCACGTGGCTGCAGCTGTAATGGATGGCGACACCGTAGCACGTTCGACACCGCGCCGACCTAGCGCATTACACCCGTCCCCCCACCGTAGCGGACGTAGCGAGCATTAGCCACCCTGGTGCATTCGTCGACGTTTTGTAGGACTGAGGGCCATGCTTCCACGACTTGTGGCGTTGGCAGTACAGTTACCCACGGCACTATTTGGCTTGCCACCATGCTTGATGCAATGGTTGAGGGGGTATGATTGGTTCCAACAGAATACCACCACCTCGCCCTTGAGATTCTACTGTGCGCTGCGTCGAGGTCACACATATTGACGACCTAACTCCAAACTCGTGCTTGCGACGGCTAAAAATAGTACCTGCTCAAAACACAATCGTCATGCCGAAGGTGCATTCGGTCGTCGTAGGCGAGCCCATGTCGTCCACGATGGGGCACAAACAGCATGTGGTGGTATTCAACAAGCTGTCTCTTGTGTGGAGCGTCGTGTTTTCTATTAACTTGGCGTTTATGGTACGCACTGTGAAGCCCACTGTTATCGTTTGACGTGGTCGTTCATTCGTCCGTAGCCGATGAAAGCGTATTGGACAGAGTACTATCCTTGGAGCATGCCATCCCCGCCAACGTTGCTACTAGAAAAAAACCCCGACGACTTTCATTCGTACACCAGCACCACGTCCCAGTTCCTCCAGAACGCGTACAATAGCGACACGTTTCCCGACCCCAACAACATGTTCCTCCGGGATCCTGCGTCGCCAACGTATGCAGTGCGCTACACCGTCAAGGTGCCGTACTCGGTACCTGCCTCCAACTGCCTCGGGGTGGTCCTCACGTTTCCAGGCCAATTGTACTATGGCCAAGGCATCCGCGACTTTGTGTGTGCGTTTGCAGCGCTCAATCAATCGGCACGGGCTGACAGCGCTCCCACCTGGACAAAGTGCCAGCACGAGTACCTCCTGGGGCAGCCCATCGCCGAAGGGTGCATCTGGGCAGCCCCCGCCCCCCCTTCTTCCGCCTCGAACGACAACACAACAAATACCATGTCCTACGCCGTGTATTTCGGCCGCCTCGAACTACAAGGGCCGACGTACAACTGGTTCAAGTTTGCATTTCGATCGTGCCTGACGCTATTCATTGTGTGCCTTTTGTGGAGGATGTACTTTGCGCATTACCGCCCGTTGGTGGCGAATCTCGGTCGACTGGGACTAGGGGACGGAGCAGCGTACGAAAAATTTGAACTTCTCGTGGGGGACCCCACCCCGATCGTTCTCAGCCATCCGCTCGTGTGTCTTGTGTTTGTATGGGATGTGTGGCTCAGCCCTGTCTATTTTGGCTTGGCTACGATTCGCGTGAGCCAACTCAGCGACTGGTGGATCTTCTTCCTCGGCTCCCTTTACGGTTCCCGCACGGTACGAACAACAACAACAACAACAACATACTTTTATTACTACCGTCTTACTACTTACTAACAATGATAGTTTTAGCTATGGTTTGCGTACTTTACAATGCGGTACGCAACTTACGGGATCAAACGGTGGCATGTCGAACATCGGTTTGCCGCCATCGACCCGGGGCTCGTTGCGATGGCGGTGGTCGTGTTTTCAGGTCCGATGATGTGGGTGACGGCCAACACCGCGTTGGCCACGTACTTTTACTTTACCTGGTCCATCTTTGACACGTCCTCACCTGGGCTTTCCATCGAAACGTTTCCAGGTACATTATTGTATACACTACTGTAGTTGGTTTCGGTGGCTGCCAACAGTAAATACATAGTTCGAAGTATATATTTGTATTTGTGTACGGTATACATGTCCCTGGTTTCAGCGCATGGCCGTGTTTTGTCATGGATGTAGTGATGAAACCATATCATTTTGCTATTGTTGCACAGGCGCAGTCTCGGCCGTGCTCATGATATCGCTGATTCCGTTTACGTACTCCATTCTTGTAAGCTGGGTAGATCATACCAACCCAACCGACCAGCGTACGTTCCATGACATGATACACGCCCCCGTCGTCGTCGCCCCTTATATAATTATCATCATTCACCGTGGCGTCTTGTAGTGTCCGTGCTGCGGTATGCATGTACCTCGTACAATGACTTGAAGACCAAGTTGTTGATGCGGCTTCAGTTGGACCGACCGTCGAATTCCCAGCGAGATCTGTCAAGCAGCCCGGTCGTCGACATGGTGGGCGGGTCTGTATACGCGTTGATGGACAAGCAACCCATGACGAAGCGGCTGCCGCTGTTCAGTTTGCGCGGCTCCGACTGCTTTGTATCTTGCATGGACGGTCATGGCAATGTCGTCAAGAAGCTGCGCCTGACGCTCTTGGATTGTGTTGATGTGGCACCGATTGCCTTGAAACGCCACCGCCACCAAACCACCACCATTGCCACGGCTTCGAGGGCCCCCACCAACCAGTCAAAGTCGCCAACCAATGGCATCGCGTTGTGCCCCCTGGACCATCCCCACCAAAGCTTTTGCCTCGTGAACCGACAAATATGCCCCGGCATGTATGCCACCGCCCCCACCTACGTCCACCTCGGCGCGTCCAAGTGCAAGTGGGTGTTGTAAGTTGTTTTGCCGTGTTTCAAAGGTCCGTAAGTAGTACAACAACACGAGCCCCCTGTCCGTCTCCCCCGTTTATATACCTTGACTCGCTTTGGCCTAGTTTTGTGTACGAGTAACATTACTACTTATCGTAATGTTTCCAGTACTTTCAAAGTACAAAGGACGAGAATGATCAGTCTCTACGAGTAACGTTACTACTTATCCTAGTCAGTACTTTCAAATGTACAAGGGACGAGAATGATCAGTCTCTAATATGGAAGCTTCGCCAAGATTCATTTTGAGCGAGTCAATTGAAACCAGATTTTGGAGCTTACCGTACCCTGTATGCGTCTAATCACAGCACTCCTTCTTGGAAACAATGGTCTTAGTAGCCCCCCAAACCTCCATAACGTATCCAAGCCCTTCCAACTCTAAGGACAAACGAATTCATATATGTAGATTCAACTGGCTGTTAATTCGTCACGGGGGTGCCTTCCGTGACTTTGTCGTATCCGGCTCGGGTTGCAGCGCGACGTTTGTACACGACCAATGCGACCCCAGCAACGGCCACAGCAACGACTACAGCAACTCCAACCAGGCCCACTCCCCAGTTACTAGTTCCGTCCACACTAGTACTACCTCCTAGAGCCACGGCCGCGGTCGCATTGTAGTCGGCCAACGCAATGTACAAGAGACTCATGACCCCCGTGTGGCCCACCGTCGAGTTGTACGTGGACACGACGCGCACGATAGCGGAGCTGCGCATGCGGCGGGGCGGGTCGAACGTGCACGTGGCCATGGCGATGACGTAGCCCGATTCGTTGCCGGCCACATGTCCAGAGCCGTAGGTCGGGAACGAGTTGCACAGCAACTCATCGGTCGCGTCGTCAAACAGCTGGATGCCCAGGCCGCCGCGGTGCTGGTGGCCCACCACGTACACCACCTCCACGTCCGCGTCGTCGGTCATGTCGTAGTCTTCGCCAAACCCAAACGCCCCGCCGGCGCGCCCCAGGTGCTGCCGCGTCGACAGCGTGTGTGTGCACCCGGGGTTCTCGTCCGGAATGCAAACGGGGATGTCGTACTCGACCGCGCCGTGGTACGCGAGGTCGCCGGACGCGTCGCAGCACGCCGCCAGGTACAGCGGCCGGTGGTCTCCAGTCACAACATCGTCGTACTCGAACGTGTACTGCATGTAGTAGGTCGAGACGGTGTCGGTCGCGTTGAGCTCGGTCGGTTCCAGGCACAGCTCCTTGTCGTTGCAGCAGCGAAGCCCGCCAGAGTACGTGTCGGCAAAGCACGCCGAGTTCTTCTCGTGCAGCAGCTGCGCATTGCACACCAGGCCTAGCTCGTACCCGTTGACTGTGCCGTTGCCCATGAGGTCACTCGACGTGCACGGACACTCGAGGCAGCGGTGCGCGAGGTCCGGCTCCAGCCGCCGCGTGTTGATGATGTGGACGTTCGCGATCCACTCGTTCTCCCCTTTGGACGTCACAAACGCATACGGGTACTGGAACTCTTGTGGCGTCCCGCGCGACTCGGTGCCCGCACCAAAGCCGACGCCAGCGTACATGCGCTCGGCGTTCTTCATGGGGGTCCACGTCGACTGCTTGGACTTGTACGACGAGTGGCGGGACCCCACGACGTGGTGGTGCAGGTACGCGTCGCAGTTGGGGGTCGGCACCACGGTGCCGTTGGCGAGGATCTCGACGATCTCGGCCGCAAAGCGGTACACGGCGATGGGGCCGTCGGGGATGGGGAGGATGTGGAAGTCGTTGCTGACGCCGCCCTGGGGCAGAGGAATAGGTCGCGTGAACGCCGTGTGCGTCTTGCGGGCGGCGGTGGCCGTGGACGCAGCATACAGCAACACCAGCGAAGACACAAGATGCATCATGAGAGGGCAAATGTCGAAATGACAAGGTTTACTCTGGATTCAACGGTATCATCTTTAAATCCCAGAGGGACGCCAAAATGCGAACAAAGAGGCAGATAAACTAAGAATAAGATGCTAGAGCGCAGTACAAAAAAAAAAAAAAGCAAAAAGGCCGATGAAATGCATTGTGGGAAATAAAAACAAAGGACCAAAGCAACACAAAGCAAACAAAGGCATGTACACTCGCAAGAGGAACAAAGCTAAAGAACAACAACAAGAAGATCGAACACAGCACCCAACAAACCCGAACAAACGACCACGGACCACAAACCAGCACAACGCCGAAACAAGCCGACATACCCAGAGAGCGACGAACCCAAAAAAACCACCGAGGTGGTGGCCACAATCAAATCGAAACGCATCGATTTCCAAAGTCAAACGACCTACATTCCGCCACCAACGCAACAAACAGATCCCAACATACAAGTAAGCAAAAAGACAACCCAGAGCTAGGAAGGCAAAAGCAATACAACCGAAAACAAAACCGCCAAAAAAACTAAGAAGCTCAACATGTAAACAACGCCACAGCCACACGACAAAGACCGCGGACGCCCTCAAAAAACATCCCTAAACGCGCAGGACGTAAAACAAGAAATAGCAAAGCAAATTCGAAATGATGATCGCAAACCAATCCAAAAAACAAAAGAACCAAAAAAGAATACCAATATAGATTAAAAATCAAAAGGACAGCCCCCAAACAAACAACAGAACGTGAAATCCAGATTAAACCTTGTCATTTCGACATTTGCCCTCTCATGATGCATCTTGTGTCTTCGCTGGTGTTGCTGTATGCTGCGTCCACGGCCACCGCCGCCCGCAAGACGCACACGGCGTTCACGCGACCTATTCCTCTGCCCCAGGGCGGCGTCAGCAACGACTTCCACATCCTCCCCATCCCCGACGGCCCCATCGCCGTGTACCGCTTTGCGGCCGAGATCGTCGAGATCCTCGCCAACGGCACCGTGGTGCCGACCCCCAACTACGACGCGTACCTGCACCACCACGTCGTGGGGTCCCGCCACTCGTCGTACAAGTCCAAGCAGTCGACGTGGACCCCCATGAAGAACGCCGAGCGCATGTACGCTGGCGTCGGCTTTGGTGCGGGCACCGAGTCGCGCGGGACGCCACAAGAGTTCCAGTACCCGTATGCGTTTGTGACGTCCAAAGGGGAGAACGAGTGGATCGCGAACGTCCACATCATCAACACGCGGCGGCTGGAGCCGGACCTCGCGCACCGCTGCCTCGAGTGTCCGTGCACGTCGAGTGACCTCATGGGCAACGGCACAGTCAACGGGTACGAGCTAGGCCTGGTGTGCAATGCGCAGCTGCTGCACGAGAAGAACTCGGCGTGCTTTGCCGACACGTACTCTGGCGGGCTTCGCTGCTGCAACGACAAGGAGCTGTGCCTGGAACCGACCGAGCTCAACGCGACCGACACCGTCTCGACCTACTACATGCAGTACACGTTCGAGTACGACGACGTTGTGACTGGAGACCACCGGCCGCTGTACCTGGCGGCGTGCTGCGACGCGTCCGGCGACCTCGCGTACCACGGCGCGGTCGAGTACGACATCCCCGTTTGCATTCCGGACGAGAACCCCGGGTGCACACACACGCTGTCGACGCGGCAGCACCTGGGGCGCGCCGGCGGGGCGTTTGGGTTTGGCGAAGACTACGACATGACCGACGACGCGGACGTGGAGGTGGTGTACGTGGTGGGCCACCAGCACCGCGGCGGCCTGGGCATCCAGCTGTTTGACGACGCGACCGATGAGTTGCTGTGCAACTCGTTCCCGACCTACGGCTCTGGACATGTGGCCGGCAACGAATCGGGCTACGTCATCGCCATGGCCACGTGCACGTTCGACCCGCCCCGCCGCATGCGCAGCTCCGCTATCGTGCGCGTCGTGTCCACGTACAACTCGACGGTGGGCCACACGGGGGTCATGAGTCTCTTGTACATTGCGTTGGCCGACTACAATGCGACCGCGGCCGTGGCTCTAGGAGGTAGTACTAGTGTGGACGGAACTAGTAACTGGGGAGTGGGCCTGGTTGGAGTTGCTGTAGTCGTTGCTGTGGCCGTTGCTGGGGTCGCATTGGTCGTGTACAAACGTCGCGCTGCAACCCGAGCCGGATACGACAAAGTCACGGAAGGCACCCCCGTGACGAATTAACAGCCAGTTGAATCTACATGTATGAATTCGTTTGTCCACGGAGTGCGAAGTAGAAATACACTAACGTTATTGTCGATTTGATACAAATTTGGGGAGGGGGTGCAATCGAATCGCGCCGACCAAACCGATCCACAAGCGATCGGATTGGTTGAATTTCATTGAAAAGATTTTAATTTTGAACTCATCTGAAGTAGCCAATCAAATCGATTTAAATTCCAACGAGAAACCATACCACAACACAAAATTTCATTCGAAAGCACAATACTATAAGTACTCCTTATATTGCGGATTCGATACGAATTTCCAGATCTCGTCGAATCGAATCTCGCCGTCGAATCAACTCATGAATCGACGCTATTGGCTAATCCAATTTTGAGTGTGTTTGATTGGCTCTTACAGAAAGGACAAGTATGTTTAACTAATCAGAACTCCAGCGTGATTCAATATTGCTCAGACAAATCGCGCGAATTTTGGAAGTTTATAGCGAATTCACAATATGTAGTATGATACTAGTAGTGAGTAACATAGGCGTTGTAGGAGTCGATGTTATGATAACGTTAACCGGCCCATTCCTGTCGAAATTCGTATTGGTGTTGATGAAAAATGAACTGAAAGAGTGAAAATATCCATAGGCTGAAAACAATTTTATCCAGTTACCTCTCAAAAATAGTTGCAGGTGATTGGTGGAAATTTCAGAGAGTGATTGTTTTCCACCAATCATGGATCGTGGCACGGAACTGCGGCCCATACGTATAATTGATACATTACCTTAAAAAACACCTTCGTGGGAAAGGCATATTCGTTGAATTTCTGGTTATATGCAGTTTCATTGGCCATAATTGACGAATTATCAAAAACAAGTCAAATCCATCCAATCATTGCTGTTTACAGTTTCAAGTGAATAGGAATAATCTGAGCAGGTTAGTATACTAGTGTACAGTAACGTTAACGTAAAAGCCCAATTTAAGAACACTTTTTCTGAGACGCTGCCGTGGAAGGCATGTAACTCGTGTCGTAGGTATCGGATTATAATTCTAGAATATGTTACATGAAGCCAAAATCCAGGCCTATTTGGGAGTTATGAATGCGATATAATTCATTATCATTCCCATCACTTTGTCCAGAAACAGCTTAAAACAAGGGGTCCAATTTAAGGTGCACCATTTTAAGCTTAGTCTTTGTATATCCATTTGCATATTTTTTGGGCGGGTAGGTTAAAAACTGCCTTCGTAGGAATTGATTGGCTAATTCGCGTGCACCTTAAATTGGTTCGAGCACCTTAAATTGGACTTTTACGTTAGGCAAAATCATTCTCTCTGTAAACGCCATCATACTAGAACCGCCGCTTCGCAAACTTCGTCCCTCGACTTGACCGAGTACGTATAAGCGCGCGAGTCTTTCACTACACACACCAAGTACCGGTCGTGGGCCAGCAACGTCTTGACCCACTGGCCCGTTCGCAGTGCACGGCCGACAAACGGGTCCTCCGACGTGTTAAACCCGTAGCTTTCATGGACGTTGGTCAGTTCATGGTGAATAAACCCTTCGACCCAAACCGTCACATCGTCCTCCTTGTTGTCGTCGTCGTGACCGTCTGTGGATGTCCCATGAGGATGGTGGGTCACGACCACCATGGACGCGCACTGGCCGCGCATGTCTGGGGCGTCCATATCGCTATAACTTGTGTCGCACATAATGACTTGGAAGTCACGAGTGGGGGAAGATGAACCATCTTGAAGAACACGATGTTTGACGATGGTAGGGGCGTTGCCGTGGGGCGTGTGCCCGACTAACATGCGATGGAGTTGCTGGGACCAGAGGAGGGTGGTCATGGCCTGGGGCATCTGCTTTGGCATGCCCGAGCGTTCCAAGTGACGGCCGCTCACGACGCTGTACGCGGCGCCCGTGTTGACATAGTGCTGGAGATTTTCACCACCTATATATATATATATATTTATAATACATTTATAATATATTTATACTATATTTATAATATATATAAAACGAATCATCATATATTGGATAGCTAGTTGGTGCGGCGGGACCTATCAGAAGAATCATCGAACGTCTTGAGAGAATATATATATATATATATATATATATATATATATATAAGCCTAACGTTAAGCCAATCCAATCACGTTGTGTCGAATTGCTGCCAATCCAAACAACTTTTGATGCTCGGGCAAAACGTAGAAAGAGCTTACTATTTGTATAGTATAGTTTGTACAAGATTAATGGATTTTTCGAATGCTATTTGGCGAAATCACGAGGTTCAACTTTGGGTGAAATGCACCCTATACCATTTAACACGAATATATATATCATAAACAATAAGTGTGTACCACACGTGACAGGCTACGCAACGAGTACCTCGAGTAAAGTCCACATCGAGATCACTTTACTACTACTGCTACCCCAACACTGGTGGAATCGATCGTTCGAATAAAACTATTCGAAAGAAATATTTATATATTTATATAAATATTTCTTTAAAATTACAGAACCGCGCCAACTACATATATATATAATGCATACGAGACACCACTCCAACAATAAGTTTTAGGTCTATATATATATATATAATGCATACCTACCACTCCAACAAAAAGGTTTTGGTCTATATATATATATATATATATAATGCATATCACTCCAACAATAAGGTTTTGGTCAAGGCGAGTGAGCAGGACCACCACCATTTTGCATGAATGCGCATAAAGCAGATCGATCATCTCCGTACCTCGAAATGTATGGGTAGCATTCCACGTGGGATAGCGTTCCCACTCTAGAATCTGCGCGGCATACCAGCCATTCAATTCGTCAATCCATTGCCGAATGTCCACCTTTTCTACCACGTGGTCCTCCTCATCATGTAGAGCGTCAAGTTCAGCGACCCATGCCGCGTACGACACTGTCGAGTCGGCGGGGGGTACGCGGCCCAAGCAGCTGCGGACGCGGCCGTCGTTGGCGGTCATGATGATGCCGCCGTGCACAAGCAACGTCGAGCCAAGCACCGCCCCCAACACGCAGTGCTTGAGGTACGCGCGCAAGTCGCCGCCTTCTTGGACGCTCTCGAGGAACGAATCGAGCACGTTCTCGTCAGAGATGGCCTTCTTCTTTTGGAAGACACTGTCATCGGGTTCAGAAGAACAACAACAAGCATTGGTGGTTGCCCCTTGAAGCAGAGCCAGTTCCCTGCGACGGCGTTCAAAATCCCCGCCCGACCCCATTGTACACTCGAGTATCCACTTCATGCGTTCAACCTGCGACACAGTACGACATATATTTGGTATTGATTGTCAAATCGAGATAGAATCAAATGAAGAGAATATGGGGTGATTCAAGAACCAATCAAATCGCGTTCTAGTGAATTTCTGCCAATCCAAACGTTTGACCCGTCCGCATTGGGCAAAACCATTTTTATATATAAATATATATATATACCAATGTTTGTATCGTATAGTTTGTACAAGCTGAAATGGGATGATCAAATGCATTTGATGACATCACTCACAAGTCTAAATTTGGATGAAATGCGCAATATGAACACACACAAGTAAAATTGAAAACGTACATCTGGAAATATAACGAGTATTATATATATATATGTATATTGTCGATTTGATACAAATTTGAGGAGCGGGTGCAATCGAATCGCGCCGAAAAAACTGATCCACAATCGATCTGATTGGTTGAATTTCATTGTGAGAAGGTTTTGATTGGCTAATAATTTTGAGCAGGTAGCCAATCAAATCGATTTAAATTCCAACAAGAAACCTCACTCGAAAGCACAATATGGCGATATGATCATCATGTAGAGATGTAGGTAGGGTGTACATACCTTTGTGTTGACTGCGTCCAAGGCCGTGTAGTTGATGGAAGAGGAGCTGTATGTGGAGGTAGTGGGGACGTCCTGTCCGTTCCTGGCAAGCTTGGACAGGTACGGGATGATGCCCAAAGGCTGGCGAGTCGTCTCTGGCAGCCAGTGCGGTCCACTCTTGATGCCTGGAGCGTATGAGGACGGGAAGGGTCGACGAGAACGAGTGTACCAGGGTCCATGGTCTTCAAATCCATCTCGACGTCTGTGAATTCCGACGTCCAACGCATCTTGTTGACGTCGCGGTTGCCCGCGATCAAGACGACGCGGTCCGGGTAGTCTTGCTTCAGGGCAAGGAGCACACGAATGAGTCTATCCGTGTTCAGTGAGCACGGCATGTACGATGTCTTGATATGCGATGGGAGGCTTTAACTACCGAAGTGTACCAACGCCTTTGTCTCCGACATCGCCGCCAAACACAAACTGGTAGCCACGTTGTAAGACCAGACGCGTGTGCGACGCGTCCGTGAACGTGAGCGCATTGAGCGTATGGGGACTCGTCTGGACTGTCTGGATAAAGCGCAGGAAGTAGTCCCAGTTGCCTTCCACGTCAGTCACGTATAGGATCTTCATGCTGCTTGCTGGGCAATCGAACACAAGAGAGCGGCGGTTGACAGGTTGTCTGGCGGCAGTTGTTGTCGCCGCTGGCACAATTTCAAAATTGCAATGTTCGTAACGGCAGAACTGTATTACAGATGTATTCGATTTCAAAGGTACTGTCGTCCTTTTTACCTGCCCTAATTTATATAGTTGTTCATGGGTTTTTAATTGTACGAGACGTGACTTTTCTCATGTTATTTCGTCTTTCTTACATATTTTTTTGAAAATTTATGTACAAATCGAACAATTTAAGGCTGGCCAAGGTCAATTTGCTCTCATATGTCAAACACGTCACGATCTCAGACACTTGAGTTTCATTGGTATTCGTGGCTAGGCCTTAGATAAACTGGCAGGCCGTAGTTTCGTAGCCGTGAATGCTGTGATTTTGGATGCTGTGGACATACTACTTAGTATGTACCCACGCAACCTTATTACGATACAGTAGTAGTTGTTGGTAATCCAGGTCACTTGTCGTCATGAGCGAGACAACTAAACATCAAGGTTGCACGGATTCTATACAGGTGTACTATTTAGGGGCCTTTCGATGATACTTATGTACACCGCCCCATGATAGTCTGTACAAGTTAGGCGTCTCTTGCTACTGTATACAACATTGGCCATACTAATTCCCCATGTCTGATCATGTGTCAGCAACTACTTGACCCACTCACCCGTCGTCGTCGTACGCAATGCTTGGCCTATATACTGGTCATGCGACGTGCAAAAACCGTAGCTTTTATACCGTTAGTTGGTGGGGGATCGATAAACCCTTCGACCCACACCGTCGGTTGATCGTCCTTCTCCTCTATCACTATCTGTGGATATCCAACGAGGTTGCTCCACCACCACCACAGACACACACTGGCCGCGCATGTCTGGGGCGTCCTGTAGCTTGTGCCGCAAATGATGACTTGGAACTCAGCAATGGGGGTAGAAGTAATATCTTGAACACAACCACGGTGACAGCCGCTGGCGATTCTATACGTCCCCCCTGTTTTCACATAATCCTGAAATTGTATTGACGAATACATTCACCAAACCAAAACATAAATGCAATCACAAGGCAAACAGAACTCCTATACAAGCAGCAGAAGTAGCAGTAGCAATAATTACTACCCCCCTCTCGATTCCATCACAAGTGCAATCACAATACGGAGCTAGCGGCGAGAAGTTTTTAGTTTAGCTTTCTAACTGTAACGTTAGATCACTAAAAATCAAAAACATCCGAGCCATATCCAACCCTCGGAACGTGTGCCTAGCATCCACGTGGAATCTACTGTAACGTTAGAGCACTAAAAATCAAAAACATCCGAGCCATATCCAACTCTCGGACGTGTGGCTAGCATTCCACGTGGAATTGCGCTCCCACTCGTGTACCAGCCATTCAACTGGTCAATCCAGAGCCGTATGTCACCCTTCACCCTCAAAAGCACTTCGTCCTCATCATCCTGAGCGTCAAGTTCAACTACCCATCCTGCATACGGCGTAGTCGACTAGGCAGAAGGTACGCAACCAAGGTAGCTCCGACACAGTTTTCTGGCCATGATGCCACCTCAAACACGCATAGCTTGAGGTAGACGCACGTCACCCCCTTCTGCGACACTGTTCGTATCGTCAGCGGTGGTCGAATCTGAAGTGGCTGGGAAGTGAAGTAGAGGAATCGGTGAAGGTTTCCCCTTATCGCGGCACTAGTTCTGTCCGGTGGCGGGCAAAGTCTATGACGGACGCCCTCCTGCAATTACGCGTCCACCGCATGCATTCGACTTGCGACGAATACCTCACATGAGTCGATGGATACGGGTGGTGGCATCTCGGCTAAACAGCAAACCGTTCAATCAGAGTGGAACAATGTTGAGGTTAATGGAAAGGAGGAGCGTTCACTGTAGCAAACTGTATATAGACCGGCCTCCATTGGATGGCACGACGGGTGTCTTGCAACAAGTTCCTCATCTTGAGGAAGTCGTTGTCCATGACTAACTCTACCCCATGCCGTTTACTCCGTAGTAGGTGTCAAACTTCAATGTCTCGTACTTTGTATCTACCATACTTTATTCAAATGAAACAAAATGAAAACCATGAGGTCGTAAAACTCGGATATTTTGCTTATTTCGGAGCGGAACGAACACGTACCGTTGCCAATATGGTAATAGCGAGTGAGATCAACGACCGATTCACGATGATGCGTCGACAAGGGGGGGGGTTGGCTAGCCAGAATCACATGATTCGCAATTATACTAGTACAAAATAACGGCGAAACGCACTTTGACGCCGGGTTTCGGGTTTACAAACTCGCCTAGCTAACGACGAGCTGAATCAAACGAGGGAGTCGACGGATTATATTTCGTTAACTGGCAGTTCCGACATAGCGGTTCCATGCCGCCGCCACGAAAGCCGTACATACGTTCAACGACGATGCAGACATCGCCTGATCCCTTTCCACCTCATGACGAGCCACCACCTCGACGCGTTGGATCAACTTGTTATTGTACGCCACGACGTCCAGAACACTTTCAAAGCTCACACTGCTGCCAATCCACGTCGTCTTGTGTTGGCCCTGCATGTCCCAGACTTTCCACGGTAGCCCCATCTTCAACCCGTCCGAGGTAAATCTTGGAAAGTAGTTGAAATAGCGCTGCGTCCACACGGTGACATCAGCCATGCCCGCCAGCGCCAAGTCCTGTCGCAGCAACGGTGTCACATGGTCTCGAACGACGTGGCTCAGCGGGTGGTCGTAATACTGGTACGCCACGCGCGTTTGGCGACCTTGCACCAAGTCGCCCCAGTCTGTCGAGCCGCGGTACTCTAACGCGAGCTTCGAGTTGCGCAATACACTCAACCGCCCGCCACCGCCTTGCTTCATGCGGTAGTGCCAGATCTGCGCCGCCGTTTCCACGGGCGACGGCTCCGACTCGAACAAGGTCGTGATAAATGTCGACGACGTGTAGCTGCTCCCAGTGATGATAGCGCGTTCGTCCACAGTCAAGTCGGTCACCAAGTCCGCGTACAAACTCAAGTCCACAGCCATGACTACGTGAGCGCAGTCGACGTGCACGAGCTCGTTCTGGCTTGTGATGTAGCTGACACTTGGCGGATCGTCAGTGGGTAGCAGCCCCCCTCTTGTCACGCGGGTGACGGTGGCCCCAAGCACCGTCATGACCGCGTCGCGGTGTGCGTGGGCGATGGCCCCCCACAGCCGCTGGAACCCCCCTCGAAGCTCCGACGCCACCGACGACTGCACGACTTGGGAGCGCAAGATCGATCGCACTGAGTCGGGATGCATCCACCACAAAAAGTAAAACGCCGGGATCGTTTCCAACACTCCGTAGCCTTGTTGTTGATAGGCAAACCGAAACAGCGACGTCAACGCGGTAAGGTTGTGTGTGGTGAGGAAGTCGATGGCAGTCATATCAATGGCAGTGTAGTTGGACGGGCGAGGGGGCAGGCCATACGTGTACGAACCAAAGATACGGTGGTGCAATGTCAAGTACCGACTGGCTTGATCAAGAAACAACGCTTGGAGCTGGACAAGGGAGGCATTGGGGGCGATCTGTTGCAGGGACTGGAGCACATGATGGGGGAAATCAACAGCTGCCGACGCATCCGAGTCATTTCCCCCGGCAGACTCGCCCATCGCGTACAGGTAGTTGGGCTGCCCATAGGCAAAGTCAAATTTGGTGTTGAGGGGGTCGTATTCGTCGACGAGGTTGAACACGGGGGTGTATGTCGGGATTGCAAACACCGTACCAAGCTCGTGGGGGGTCCCCTTGTCGTCCACGACTGTGACGGATTTACCTCCAACGCGATGGCTAGCTTCGAGGATTGTGATGTTCAACATGCCCTTCTTGGCCAGCAACGACGCGTAGTGGACACCCGCGGGGCCGCCGCCAACAATGACGACGTGGTCCGACGGTTGCAGTTGGATCGTCGATGTCGCGGCAGGCGAGGAAAGCGCAAAGGCAAGCAATGCCAGCACAAACGGTAGCAATGATGATGGCATGTTGGATGGGAATTGGGCACTGAAATAATGGTGGACGGTGAATTTGCTCTTGGTGAGGCAAAGTGACGTTTGGAGATTGAAGATTGAAGCTACATAGAAGGCTCAATTGTGGACATCGTCGCTGGTAATAGCAGTGTCAATCTACTCCGGAGTCACTAGTAATACTTAACTGGGCAGTTTACTTGTGCGGGGGTAGCTTGTCCTGGCTTGATCATGCCGATGGGAAATTGAATGTACCGTACCCCCGAGTACCCGTATCATGTTGGCACAAATCAATGTACACATGTACTTTAGGTTGAACTTCTCATTGACTTGCAGGCTACAATAATGTGAAATCTGGTGGTGTGCCATCAAGGTTTGTATGCTTTCTTAATGTTAAGCGGTATTCTAAATGGGAATATCTTCAACATTCATGCGTTTTGGCGGCAACAAACCAATACTGTACCCACTGTTGAGTAGGTGCAGTAGTCCCGCACATACAGTATGATGATTTCTCAATGACGGCAATCTTGCACCATATTTAATCTGCCCTTCACTATCCAAGATGAGACGGAGGCAACCATGCCGCTTCGTTTGAATCGCTGATTGGATGGATGGTCTTGGTTGAAGTGACGCGGCGCGCCTGGGTGGCACCCAAAATCTAATCCCCTTCACTCGATGCAAAGTAGCAATACCGCCCAGCCCCATTTATTTAGCCATTTAGATCTACACCATTGCTTCTCCATAAGTCACGGCTAAACTGAAGGGCATACCTTTATCGTCATGTTATGAAGCACCCCACACAATTTGAAGGGTTCATTCATCGAACTTGTAGACAGATAATCCAAAATTTGCATCCTATATTTCCCATATAGCATGCAACACGAACTACTAACGTTAGTACAAGTGTGTCATGAAAGTTGTAGGCACGACATTCTTCCATCAGATGTGCGTCGTAGCGGTTGTACTCTGTTGTACTCTAGCAGTAAGCTAAGAAGGAATATTAGAGAGGTTTAGCAACTTGTCCAGACCGCATCCATTCCGCACATTTTTGACAATAATCGCAGTATGGACGCGGTCTGGAATATCGAAATTTTGGTTTTGCATCATTCCACTCCGCATCCATACAATCATCCGGTTAGGGCTGCCGGATACGATATAAATTCATCCGTCACCAACATCACATGGCGTTCACGCTGATGTTAGCCACACGCGACTCTAAGACCGCCCATCAGCGTCACCTTGTACTTGCGCTACTCGCCTCTCCAATCATATAGGGACAAGAGAGGCAAGCATCACAAGGACAAGTAGAAGCTGAGGCCGTAGGTCCCCGTAGACTTTCCAGCGAGCACCTGTTTTTTTGCTTAATACCCAGATCTACCTGCTTCATCGTCACTAACATCGAAGCCGTGTCCTTCGTGACGAAGAATTGTGCCATATACTCGGCATTCCCAACAGGCAATATGAATTGTATGGAGGAATGGACTTACATGTTAATTCCATACAATTGCCCAATTGTGCGGAGTATACATTGAATATTACAGTTTCCATAATTATGTTTAAGAGGTAACTTTGGGCAAAACCACATATACTACGTAGTATACAGATCTTTGTATACATGTGGTTTAAGCTTACAGCTAACAGTAAATTGGAACTTACCTGTTAATGTATTTGGCAAAATAGTGAAATGCACAATACTACTGTAGTAACGATATTCGGAAGCATCGACCATTTTACCGTTAAAAGGACCAGGGATGGATCGTGGGAAATGAAGCGAAAATGGCTCCTTGAGTGTTATAGACACAGCACTATTTTGTGCGAAATTGGAGAACGCATAGATTGTCAATAGAAAGTGAGTATCACACTTGGGAACCAGATCGGACAGCCATGAAGCGCGGAGCATTGTGGCTACGTAACATGTGGATTCAAAAGTAGCTCACTATCCTCTCGTTCTGGACAGTTGTGATGCCACGAAGTTTGGTGGCCGTACCCCGAAGTAATAACGTTACGATATGATATGGTCCGCGCCATCGTGAGACGCCGTGACATTCAATGTCATTGGCAATCTGGGACTATTGATTCATTTCGGGAATTTCCAATTTTCCTTTTCTCAGCAGCAGAAACCGCGTGAGAGAGCAGCGCAAGTGTCCTGGCATGAGTCGAGTGTCGGTGAGAAGTGTTGTGCCTCTACCAAGGAATACTGTCTGTACCCAACCCAGTGTTTGCGGCTTGTGATCAGTTCGTGATGATTTTACCATTTGGGCACACTCAGGAATGGCGGGTGTATACGTCGTCAGCATTCAATTATCCTATTTTAACAATTCCGTGAACAACAACACACGCAGATTTACCCCGAAACCAGTCGATAGATTGACTAGTATACAATACAATCAATATTTGCTTGCTTGTATTTTTCAATTTATCAATTGAGCTGAGACATCCGTTCACCTGACATGTGGTGCCACGCTTATCCATGTCGGCCACGATGTCGCAACAACACCCTGAAGCCGTTACCATGACAGTCTATCAAAATCCGACTTGTCCGAAGCAGCATCCCCAGCATCTCATCATGCTGCCTACCGCCGACGTATTTGATTGTCAGCCCTTGTCCTCCAAAGACGAAGCCGCGTTGTTGGCCCAAGCCTCGAGTGCGTGGAAAGGGCTCGTGGACAACGCCATCTCGTCCGAGTTGTATCGCATTGAAAAAGTCGTGCGCAACGAAACCACGGGCCGCTGTGCCACGGTACATACACCACTCCTGGCACCGTTGTTTAACATAGCGCCTTTATAGCTCCGAAAGCCCAGGGACACGATCAACGTGAACCAAGACGGCGTGGTCGCCCACACACGAACCCGCGCGACGATCGAGCAGGCCGCGGCGTTCTTCTACTTGGACACCTCCATCAAAGCCGAACAATTCGCACGGGTTATGGACGAACTCGTTGAAGCAAAGCGGACGCTGTATACCCTCGTGGATCGCCCAGTTGTCGACGACGGGGTCAACAAGCCACTCGACTACATTTCCGTCGACTGGATGATGATCAAGTTCAAGAAGGGGGTACCGGCGCGAGATCTGTGCTACCTAGAGGTATGTCTATATCTACGGTGTATATGTCGTGCTACGTTGAATGTATGTGTTTTCGTGTGTATCTCATACAAGCACAAGCAACACATGCACGAAACATACCCCTCGACACATTGAATGTATCCGCAACTTGTGATGCGGTGTAGTACTATGCACTCGTTCTCGAAACACAAGTAATTAATCGTCGTACATTAGATCCACAAAGAATTCAAGTTTGCGTGTCCGCTCACGGGCGTCACCCGACGGGGGTGGGTGCGCTGCATCCACTCGGTGCGCATGGACTGCTGCCCTGACATGCAAAAGAAGTATGGTGTCATTCGCATGGAGATTCAACGTGTAAGTGCACCCTTCCTGTACTCCTATGTAGGAGTTAGTAGGAGTAATAGTTCGAGCCAACTAACGACTAGTTGTTGGCCAACTACTTACTACCCCCCCCCTTAGTCAGGGCACGTGTTTATGGAATCCAACGAAGCGGGGGTGCTCGACTACTACAAATTGTACTTTGGCAGCCCACGGGGCGCCGTCCTCGGCAAGCATTTCAACGGGTTGTACCTCAAAGGGGCAATGCGGACGTCTGCTCGTGCGGTAAGGTTCCTAGCCTTTCGTAAGTCTAGTAGTCCTCGTTCCTTACCTCGTACTGTGTGTTTTGGTCGATACTAGATCTTAAACCTGGACGAACATTTCACCACGGAGCGGTTAAAGCCGCTGCTATCCACCCCCCTGCGGGACGAAAAAGTTGATGCCAAGGCGTGCTCGGGGTGCCATGGCAGCTTTTCGTGGCGCACCACCAAACGACTGTGTCGGGCTTGTGGAGCTGCGATCTGTGTCAAGTGCAGTTCGCTGTGGTCGCTCACATTGCAGGGCTCCGCCGTCAAAGTGCCGCTGTGCGCCCCGTGCGTCGGCTCCAACTTGGACGCAAACGTGATGGAATCCGGCCAAATCATATACGACGTGATGGAGGCTAGTCGCGTGTCGGACGACTTTGCCTTCTGTGTCGGAGGAGCGCAGTGGGGCCAAGAGGTAGCTGCACTCCCAAAGTCCCCCGGAAGCGGCTGCGTAACCGTTCGATCAACCCCCAGCGACAGCGGAAACAGACACATGATCGCCAACAGCAGAAGCGGCGGCGGGTCCAACGACGCCGCACTCAATGACCTCATGTGCTCGATCGACCAGCAAAAAGACCTGCTGATCAAAATGCAAGAAGGTTTAGCGGCCCGAACCCAGTGATGCGAAATTCCATAATTATATTTATACCTATAACGTTAACATGATCACCATGTATTTACAACTTACTAGTATTACTTACCATAGTACTAGTATTATTACTGTACGTAGTAATACATAGTGCCGCAAGAGTGCTGCATCCACTAGGTTGATAGTGAAGTTAAGATATTTCCAAGTGGGATAAACTGGGATAAAGGATAGTGGGGTAAATTCGATATGATGGGGTATGTACATCCACAAGCATTAGTACTCCAAAGTTAATATTGAGGGACCTGTGTCTCTACCTACCGTTTGTTTATTTTACTCGTGACTACTACAACGTTCCTGTGAATTGACCGATAGTAATCGATACCGGTACTGTATCTGCTTGCCCAAGCTACGTAGCCACCCACCCCCGTCGATTTTGTCGGGTAATGACACATGTCGACTTGAATCCGTTGCTTATCTATGACAACAAACAACAAAGAACGTGGAGATTTTCTGGGGCCCCGATAATACCTCCAAGTAGCGCAAGTCGCGCACGGGTACCCCCGGATGATTGAACTTGTTGTGATCATCCAGGCCACAGACATGAAGTCCAACGTTCGCTGGTTGTCCTCTTGTACAGACGCCCATCCAACATCGGATATACCGGTATGTACACCGTCCTAGCCTCCCATGAGTTCGTCCATTACTGTGCTTCATCTTGACTGTCCAAGTAAAAACAACGTCGGCGGCTTGATCGATGGTGGCTTGTGTGCAGCAATGGGCATCCACCCCCTCCGTGCCGTTGACCACACCTTTCGGTCGTCGCAACTACATATTTGCATTGAGTTTGTACTAATAGTGTAAGATAGAATCATTTCGGGGAAAGGTATGGACGCTACCGCAGCAGTTCGCCACGTGTGCAGTGATTGCGCGCGATTTTGCTACAGTGCACGATATGAACATTGCGGACTGATATATGCAATGTGGACGTGGAAATCTGAGACCGATTGGCATTCGAGTGGTACTTGTCACGTAGTATGACGACTGGAAAATCAAAGCAATCGATGGGAGGCAACGCCCTTCGACATAGTTACGACTCAAGACGATTCTAATTCTGATGGCATATATAATATGGATTGGAATTTTTGAGCAAGATATGAAGTGTATGTTCGAAGGGGGGGGGTCGTCCCCACGGTTGGGACTGGACGAATCTTTCAAATGCTGTCTGTCGTCAACGCAACCCACTGTCCGCCCTTGTTAGCACTCGATGATCCCCTTGCCCAATTGCATCTCCCTCGGATTGTGAACGCCAATTTCAAACGTTTTTTCCATAGTGTTCATACACACAAAGCTCCATGATGTTTATTAGACAATACCACTCTGTTCCATAATGATTGCAGTACTTGACTTCTGATTGGACTAAATGTTACATTTCTCCTCGTAATCACAAGCGGATTGGCTCATTTGATAGATACACATTCCAGCTTTGATTGACACCTTATCTTCCAGAAAAGTCAAATTGGTTAGTGCGTCATGACCCCAAAACTTTGTGACCTTATTTAAGGAGTTGTACTGCGACACTATTGCTCTAGTAGGGTATAACTCTTTACATCTACTACAGGACGTAGCACACAAGACTACACGAGCACATGACAGTCGGGGGAGGAGGGGGGGTTAATATGCAGGTCGAATCGCCGCCAATCGGTCTTGCAGCTTGTGCAGCAACTCCTTTTGCTGGTCAATGCCGTGCATTATGTCGTTCGCAAACGAGCTCGACGACGACTCGCTCCTATCGATCGAAAGGTAGGTTTCGCGGATGGTGCTGACCACGTCGCTGGCCGTGGAGTACCGTTGCTTGCGGTCCTTGGACTCGATCAGGTACATCTCGTCAGCGTCGTCCACGTTTAAGCCAGGCCCCACGCATCGCTTGCACAGGGGAACCTTAATGGCGGACCCGTGAAGGGTGAGTGACCACTGCGAGCTACATTTGGGGCAGATGGGGTCCCCACAGGCGCGGCATAGCTTTTTGGGGTGCCGCCACGAGAAGGCTAGCCGGCAAGTGCCGCAAGTCGCGGCATGGGCGAGACTCATGTCCAGCGGAGCCGATAGCAATGGTTTCAACCGTTCCGTGGTGAAGTGTTCATCTAGATTTAGAATCTACACGCACAGGATGATGAATACACACGATTGTTGTAGAAATCGGACGGCCAACCAACGGAATAGGTTGGAATGCTGGAAAAAATGATATGAAAAGGGGGAGGGGTATAATTTGTACCGAGCGAGCTGACGTCCGCATCGCACCCTTGAGGTACAACCCGTTGAAATGCTTGCCGAGGACGGCGCCCCGCGGGCTGCCAAAGTACAATTTGTAGTAGTCGAGGACCCCCGCTTCGTTGGATTCCATAAACACGTGCCCCGACTAGGGGGGGGTAGTAAGTAGTTGGCCAACAACTAGTCGTTAGTTGGCTCGAACTATTACTACTACTACTACTGCATCGCTACAGTTAGGGGACCCTTACCCGGTGAATCTCCATGCGAATGACGCCAAACTTCTTTTGCATGTCAGGGCAACAGTCCATGCGCACCGAGTGGATGCAGCGCACCCACCCCCGTCGGGTGACGCCCGTGAGCGGACACGCAAACTTGAATTCTTTGTGGATCTATTAGATATACTCTTGTCATGTCGACGACAATCCATCGTAAGTCAACGTACCTCGAGGTAGCATAAGTCGCGTGCTGGCACGCCTTTCTTGAACTTGATCATCATCCAGTCCACTGACATGTAATCTAGCGCGCTGGCGGTTGCAGGGACGACGATGTTGTCGCAGTTTTTGTGTCCGTCGGTGACAACTACTGGTCGGTCCACCAGGGGGTACAGCGCCCGTTTTGCCTCCACCAGCTCGTCCATGACCCGCGCAAACTGCTGGGCCTTGGCTGGCGTGTCCAAGTAAAAAAAGTCGGCGGCTTGTTCAATCGTCGCCCGCGTCCGGCTATGGGCTACCATGCCTTGCGTGGCGTCCACGATGTCTCGCGGGCGGCGTAGCTAGACATTTCAGATATCGAATCGAATGGTTAGCACAGCAATGACGGTGTCGCCTTTCGGATAGCATTGAGATGTGGCGTATACTGTACCGTGGCACAGCGGCCCGTGGTCCTGTTGCGCACGATCTTGTCGATGGGGTAGACTTCGGACGCGATGGCATTTTCGACGAGCCCTTTCCACGCCCCCCCTGCAATCTCAAGCAAGTCGTCGCGGACAGAAGCGGACAGCGGGAGGTGGCACTCGAACACGTCAGCCGTAGGTAGCATCACAAATCCAACCTTCAGGTTGCAAGCGATTGGTAAAATGAATGGGACATATGCGACGGATGGTGTTTCTGCTCGATGTTATGAAGGTTTCTGCCACCCAACTGCTCCAACCGATGCCAGAGGAACGGCCTATCATCGACGTGCACCTCTTTGTGGCGACGAAGCAGAACCAGCACCGCCACCATATGTCACAGTGGTAACGCTGCCATTGGCTGGCTCGGGAGTACGAGTTGGTTGGGTGGGGATTTGGCGCTGTTCGGGGCGAGTTGTGGCAATCGGGACAATCAAAAGTCTTCAATTGTATACGTATATACAAGTAACGTTATGTATCATAGTTCAGACCCTTTGGCATTTTTTTACGACATGCAATCGCGTTGTGGGACACATGGCGACTAATTCTCCACACCAGGGTATAACCCCCGCTAAAGACCCGCGAATTTTGAGAATACCAGTAGTCAAACAGGCAAATCAAAACGCACCAAGTTTGCACAAATAAGTATAGTCATATGGATTACGATTACGAAAACAAGTTCCTCAGAGTACTGTAGAGGTTAAGGCATATCCAGCGGTTAGCTAACCTCTGGTAATGATGCACTTAATACTGGGGATAAAACTATACTCGGAAGACTGTGCCCATCGGCTGTAGGAAGCAGTCCCACGTTAACGTGACTAGGTTTCGCGTTTACAGTTAAATATGTGTGGATTATTGTGTTACAGTATGTACTGACGCCTTATCTAAGGAAATACTAGAAGCCTACAGTAGGTGTTTCAGGTCTCCAGCAGGAGTGTAACGTCTGCTATGTGGGAATTAGTCTACACATGGCATACGACTGTAACACCGGCCTTTTGACAAGCTCTCACCATTCATAAATAGAAGAAATCAAATCTATAACTTATTTGGCAAAGTCCAAATTCAACGAACGACAATACTGAGTAATGCCGTCAACATACATGAAAGATCTGCTAACTACGTATACGTGTACGAGCAATGCGAATACATACTAGTACTGTAGTCTACCTTGGGTGCGACCTTGGGGCAAGACTTGTATCAGAGGAATACTACGTAGTATGTATCACAACGGAATGGTCGTACTTTGGGTACTGTATTTCAGTCGAAATGTTTGGTGGCATACAGTATAAGTACACTCTTCATGTCCCGCTTGACATTATTGTATGCCATCGTCTGGGGCGCCTCAAAATTTACAGTACTGTGAACGTTCGTGCCGCACGGCAGAAGCCCGAGTGAAGACAAACTGCCAAACCGACAAACCCTGAAAAATCGTTCAATAAATCTGGATACCGTTCAGCCAAGCCTGAAAACCGTTCAAACAATAAACTCTAGTTATTGTCGATTTGATACAAATTTGGGGAGGGGGTGCAATCGAATCGCGCCGACCAAACCGATCCACAATCGATCTGATTGGTTGAATTCCTTTGAGAAGATTTTGATTGGCTAATAATTTTGAGCTCATGTGAAGTAGCCAATCAAATCGATTTAAATTCCAACGAGAAACCACGCCACAACACGAAATTTCACTCGAAAGCACAATAGCTGAGGCATATTTTTTGTACTCTGACCACCTCAACTCTTACTAGGGGGATTTAGCATTATATGGTGCATTTCAGCTAAAGACTACAAAAAAAATGCCTTGTCTTTTGACAGCTATTCCAACTTTGTATTGATATTTTTTAGGGAAATAAGCCGTAATAACGATAGAACTGGTCAAGACCAACAGAAGTTACGGTTCAAAATTTCGATTGGTGAAAAATTGATCGAGTAATAGAATTTAAACCAACCAGCCTTTTTGTATGGAAATATATGGAGCCAGGCACATTTTGGCCGAAAAGGAGCATCAAGTATATCTTGGTCTTTGTATACAGTATTTATCGTATGAACGTTTCAATTGTATCCGGATTATTCAGGATGTTTAACCTATTTACCAGATAAAAAACGTAAGTAAAAATAATTTAACGTCAACATTACGGGGGTTTAACTGAAATAACCGAGGCGTTGATCAGAGGAATACTACGTAGTATGTATCACAACGGAATGGTCGTACTTTGGGTACTGTATTTCAGTCGAAATGTTTGGTGGCATACAGTATAAGTACACTCTTCATGTCCCGCTTGACATTATTGTATGCCATCGTCTGGGGCGCCTCAAAATTTACAGTACTGTGAACGTTCGTGCCGCACGGCAGAAGCCCGAGTGAAGACAAACTGCCAAACCGACAAACCCTGAAAAATCGTTCAATAAATCTGGATACCGTTCAGCCAAGCCTGAAAACCGTTCAAACAATAAACTCTAGTTATTGTCGATTTGATACAAATTTGGGGAGGGGGAATCGCGCCGACCAAACCGATCCACAATCGATCTGATTGGTTGAATTCCTTTGAGAAGATTTTGATTGGCTAATAATTTTGAGCTCATGTGAAGTAGCCAATCAAATCGATTTAAATTCCAACGAGAAACCACGCCACAACACGAAATTTCACTCGAAAGCACAATAGCTGAGGCATATTTTTTGTACTCTGACCACCTCAACTCTTACTAGGGGGATTTAGCATTATATGGTGCATTTCAGCTAAAGACTACAAAAAAAATGCCTTGTCTTTTGACAGCTATTCCAACTTTGTATTGATATTTTTTAGGAAAATAAGCCGTAATAACGATAGAACTGGTCAAGACCAACAGAAGTTACGGTTCAAAATTTCGATTGGTGAAAAATTGATCGAGTAATAGAATTTAAACCAACCAGCCTTTTTGTATGGAAATATATGGAGCCAGGCACATTTTGGCCGAAAAGGAGCATCAAGTATATCTTGGTCTTTGTATACAGCACTTATCCGTATGAACGTTTCAATTGTATCCGGATTATTCAGGATGTTTAACCTATTTACCAGATAAAAAACGTAAGTAAAAATAATTTAACGTCAACATTACGGGGGTTTAACTGAAATAACCGAGGCGTTGAATAGTAAAACGTCTCCTCCTGAGGATGGCCGATCTGTAGTCTTTAGATGAAATGCACCATACTTCGAAGTATGTGCACGCGGGGGTAGGACGAAGTCCCGGGGTTACAGGGTTACGGGAAGAAAAATTGTTTGAACACTTTTCAGTCTTGGCTGAACGGTATCTAGATTTATTGAACGTTTTCCCATAACGTTAGTTTCCCTGCCAACCAGTCTTGTACCGGTACCGGTACTACCACGAAGGCAAGAAGGCCCTTATTGCATGTCCCTGACGCAAAATTGAGGCCCTGGGCAACCAAAGTGAAGTGTAAATTGTACAATATCTCACCGGACAAATAATAATCATCCCTTGAATGTACGAGAGAATATTGACGTGGGCAAATAAGTACAGGTCGTTGAAATTGGATCACAGTAGTACTTCCATATTTTTATACTTGACCAAAAAAATATCAAAGGGATGCAGTCAATTGCATTTTACTACGTAGTATAGTAGTAGCCAACAAGTGATCGACAAAATAGCGGAGTCCCATTCGTCAGATTCGACGACACCACCTGGCGCGCATGATTCAAAATTCAAATATAACAAGCAACGATTGGCTGATGCGCATCGCACACATGACATTCACATTCAAACTTTCTCACGATGCAACCAAAACGTGTGGCCAAACAGTTCTACCGACGCTACAACCTCCGCAGCATTCGGATGCACCTCCGACGCTTTGACAGTTTTTCATTCAAGGCTATGTGTCGCAAAGAATGGCTGTATGAAGAGGGTCCACACACACGGTAGCACCAAAGCGTTTGAAATTGTGTTCGCTGGGAGAGTTGTCGGTGTATCCCGCCTGCATCCAATGGAATGGTCCATTTTGTTTGCAGGCATGATTTTGGTGAATAGTACAGTACTACGTAGTACTTCATACTTCGAAGTATTATAGTACTACAGTACGTAGTATGTACTTCGAGGGGAGTATGCAACATGATTTTAGCGATGTCTATTGGCTGAATTTTGGCCAATTTGAGATTATTAATAATATAGTATTAATACTACTGTACGTATTATTAATAATAGTATTAATAGTAGTATTATTAATCGAGAAATGTCTCATTTGCGGGGGCACCAATATATATATATATATTGCGACTACGGGCACTTTTTTTGGACGAGGTGGGCGCCGTGCTCGGCATATTCAGTCTTGGATATCCACATCTCATGGAACGAGCCTAGGGAGGCGAGAATGGATCCGCCGAGGAAGGCACTGAGGGTGCGCTCGTTGGGCGGCGGCGCGAGGAGTTTGAGCTTGGCGCTGGGCAGCATCGCCAAGATCTCTCGCTCGAGGCGCGTCGGGAACGACTCAAAGCATGACGAGCCGCCCCCGAGCACGATGTTTTGCAGGAATTCCTTCTTCGAGTCGGCATCTCCCCGCGAGGCGGCGTCGACGACGAGGCCTGGAAGGTATATGCCGCCGATGCCGCCGCCTTGGTGGGGTGGAGACGTTGGTGGCGATGGGTCGGGGTGGTGGAACAAGTGTTCGGCTACAGAGAACCGCTCGACCCCGATGGAGATTTGCGTGCCGTCGGGGAGTTCGTACGGCATTTGAGGGATATTGGCGTTGGTGGTTTCGTCGAAATGGGATTCCGCGGTCCGGCAGATGCTTTCCTTGAGGTCGCGGATAATCGACCAGGACAGCAAGGACGACGATGACGTAGCGGTGGATTTTGGAACGGACGAGGTCGACGTGTCGATGGGAGAGAGGGACTGATGGCGCCCTCGTTCCAGTTTGTCCAGCACACGATCGCGGAGGAACGTATCGAGGGCGTGGCCGCCCACGGACACGTGTCGAACGGCGTGCTGGCCCACGACATATCCGTCCGTGACTGGAACCACCGCTGCGCTGCCATGCCCCATCTCCACGACCATCCCCGTGCTGCGGCCGTTGGCAAAGCAGGTCAACACGGCCGACTTGGACACAAAGTACGCCGGCGCGTCGTACTTCTCAAAGAACAGCTCTGCGATCGCTTCCCGGTCGCTGCTACTCTTGCTCGACGACTGTTGTTGATCCAGCAACGTTTGGAAGCTGCTCTCGCTCCACATGATCGGATGTTGCCGCGTCGATTCCACTCCCAACCGTGCAAACCCTTCGTCCAACGACACTTCCAGCGCATCGAAGGAGGCCACCGTGCCCTCAGCGGTCATAATTCCGTTCATATCGCTAGAGGGTGTGCTGATGTACCGCGCGTCGTCTTCGCCGGCGTATCCCATCCGCGACCGCAGGCACCCGACATCGCACACCACCGCATTCAGATCGTCGCCACCGCAATACATGTCGAACTTTATCCGGTTCATTCGGCCAGGATTTCCGGATTTTTTTGATAGTTCGAACTGAAAAATATTTCGCTAGTTTTCAGCTTATATTTTGAGTTCATGCAATTGTACTGTAATATATTACCGGTTTCTTTGAAATACTATAGTGGAATTAATAGCTGCTGGCGCAAGCCCCTTTGTATTGGCTTACCGCCTTGAAGTTCTGTATTCCTAATCGATGGTTCAGGACGGCACCGAAAGGATGCGCTGGGTTAGTCGAAAATGATAAAATCCGGATATACCTCTGATATCAAATACGTTCGGGGTTTTGTCCGAGCATCATATCAATTCTAACAGTGGTTGAAGTGAGAGCCAATTTGGGGAAGTGTGTCATTTTCAATCTGGAAGTGTCATGGTCGTCGCTACTCGAGTCGTCGCTACCATTGTCGGGGCGCTGCTACTAGCGCTTGCCACTCCCTTGGCTGCCGTGGACTCTTCCGCATCTCCGTCCAACGCGGCCAAGTCCAAGACCTGCAAATGCAACCGGTCCTTCAACGATCGACCCCACGCGCGCGACGTCAACGTCCCGCTCAACCAAGGCCGTCACCCTGCACATTTGCCTGTCGCGTTGGACTGGTGCGAGCGCGGATTCTGCACTTCTTCGTGGAACCAGCATATTCCCCAGTACTGTGGATCGTGTTTTGCCCACGGCAGTCTGTCGAGCGCGAACGACCGCATCAAGATCATGAACCACAAACTCTATGGATACCACGGCCCCGACGTCATGCTAGGCCGCCAAAGCTTCCTCAATTGTGCGCCAGGACACGGCCTTTCCCAAGGGTGTATGGGTGGCGAGCCCGCCGACGTGTACGAGTTCATGCGTGTGTACGGGTTGCCCGACGAAACGTGTCTGCCATACAACGCCACCGACTATTCCAAGTACCTCAACACGTCGAATGGAACGTGTCCTCCTGAGGGGTACTGCATCAAGTAAGACAATACTTCGAATCCTCCTTCTCCTTCTCATGCTCATAACGACGACACTAGCTGCATGTACACCCCCGAGAGTCCCGACGTGGCGACATGCTTTCCCGTGACCAATGTCGTGCGATACCGCGCGACAACGTACGGGCGCATCGTCGGTGAGGACGCCATGTTGGAGGAACTTCAGCGCGGCCCGATCACGTGCGGCATCGCATGCAGCCCCGAGTTTGACTGGAACTACACGGCGGGCATCTTCTGGGACAAGACCAACTACTCGGACGTGGATCACGACGTCGAGGTTGTCGGGTACGGCGAAGCGGATGGCGTCAAGTATTGGCATGTTCGCAACTCGTGGGGGTCGTACTGGGGTGAGAACGGCTTCTTCAGGATCGTCCGGGGTGTCAACAACCTGATGATCGAAAGCGACTGCCATTACGTCAACGTGGACGTTGGTGACGAAACGTTGGTGTGGGAAACCAAGAATCACGATGGAACGAGGACTGGCGGACCGGCATACGGCGGGTCCATCTATGGCATCAAGCCGTACACGAACGCGTCATACGGTCCCCATGATCGTAAAGTGACCAACTCGACCACAGACGGCACGGTGCTGGACAACACCACGTTGATTAGCCACGAACGCAATCAGGCGGACGAGGCGAAGGATGACGGGAAGGCCGATGGCATGGAGGACGACGTTGATGATGATGATGGTGTGATCCAAAAGCCAATGGACGCACCCACGCAAGAAGCCGAGGCCGTGCACTTGGCGGGGAAGTATGAGAATCAAGACGTGCATTGGAGTGTGAATGTGGTCGGTGTGGTCGGCGTCGGCGTGGTGGCTGCCGTGGTCGGCGCCGCTGTTGCCACCAAGCGCCGTCAAGCCAAGTACATGTCCCTTGCTTAGCATAGACTACCAGTAGTAGATGACATAGACGCATGCTAACGATACCAAGTACATATGAACCGTAACACAAATGATACACTTGAAAGCGCACAGGTTTGGCTGATACTGTAATACTAATGTATCAACCAACCCATGTGTGTTCCCTGCAGTTTGGAGTGATGTGTCGGGCATCGTAGTGTCTGTGGTGTCGTCTGTCTGGTTGACTTGCCTCATGATCATTGCCGTGGTCACCCCATACCTGGTGAATGCATGCTCTCCATCAGCAGCAACCTTGTTCTTGGTTCGGTAGGCCATTATTGCTCGATTCCCACGGAGGCCAGTACCTTCCACCCGTCCAGGACCGCCATGACTTCTCTCTCCCTCTCATGAGCTAGGAAGTTGCTTCTGAGAGACATGGACGCTTGGAGCTCCGTGCCGTTAGCTGATCCCATGGCGCCATCCCTACTTTTGATTTCTGGTGGTTGTGATTGGTCCGTGCAAGTTGAAGTTTCCATTTCGAAATTTGTATTGCACTTGTGTTTTGTATACCGATACAAATGTCAATATATATATGACTGTCCCTGAATGGCACAATTGCAAAACAGCCCATGTCCATGACGACCTCGTTCTTGATTCGCCGCATCTCGCGGGAGAACGACGAGCTCAAGCAGCTCCATGCCACTGCCGTGGAATGCAAGCAGCGCATTCAACAGTACTACGCTAACAAGAGCGACAGTGGCGGAGGCGGTCGTCATCACGCGGTACTACCTGTGGAATGCCACGAGTTTCTCCCCCATTACCGCAACGACAATAACGCGCCCGAAACGAACCCCAAGCAAGCCGTCGTGGTAAGGTCCACTTGACACCCCTCGTCATGTCGACAACTCCATGCTATGTATTCACCTTTGATTCGTTGTGAACACAGTTGCGACGACGACAAACGCGCGCTATCAACGACATGGCTGGATGAACCTAAGAAACGTCCGCGCGTTGATGTTAGTAGTCGTTCAAAGTGAAGTGTGTATAATACGAAGTATGTAGCATGGTGTTTATTCGTGATTTCATCATGGTTCAAGGACGTGCTGTAGCAGAGAACTGCTGCATCGATGTGGCGGACCTCCTGACTTCGCACAGTGTCGCATGTTAGCGTTAATGCAATCATAGCGTTAATGCCCTAGCGCGGCACGACGAGGTTGGACGTGTGGCCAATACATCAAGGCAGTTCCGCAAGCATATCGGTCATTTTGGTCGGGTTTCCGCATGCGCTTTCGGCGCACCCGGATACAATATCCGGATAAACGACTTGGTTGTGCGCATTTCTGTAAAGTTCGAAACGGCATCTTTGTTGTGGTATTGGATTGGTTGAAATAAAATCATTCATCCAATGGAAGGACTTCATTACTGTATTATTGAAGTATTTTGACGAATGAAATAGGATTATTAGTCTCCCCACAAACTTGGTTTTCCAGTTTCGGATGGGCGATGCAAACGCCGATGACCGCGTGGTCGTAGACCTCGGCTTTGACAAAGATGCATCAAACGTGTACCTTGCCCGAGGGAAGGACTGGATCGGCTCGTCGGCAGTGAGTCGGAAAGACATGATGTCGCATTTCCGCTTGGACGCGTCGCTCAAGGCGATGAGCGCGGCTGAGTTGCCTACCGGATGCAAGCATTTGCTCAAAGGTCTCGGTCTGAGCAACTCCCATGCTGACTTGACCAGTGACTACGGCACCAACTTGTCGCTGTTGACGGTGCTTGACGAACGAGCATTCGGACGTCCCATCGAACCCCTTCCAGACCACATGGTGCAATCGGGGTTCCAGTTCCCTACGACAGCACCGTTGACCAGTGCTACGACCTTCCACAAGACGAGTAAGGCGGCGCGCCCAGGATTTGTGCAGCCGCCGCCCTCGAAGACTACGGCATCGGCGCCAGTAGACACGAAGACGGCGGCCGCGGCGACCGTGACCGCCCAGGAAAAGCTCAAGAAGGACGAAAAGAAGAAGGAAAAGAAGCGCAAACGCGAAAAGGAGGACGCCGAAAGCCTCAAGTCGATTCTCGACCCGCTCGTGCATGATCTCAAAGCGCTTACGTGGAAGGGTACGTCGCTTTGTTGTAGTATTCCTAGCCGTCCAACAGCACAAACGTATGCCGTAATAGCCTGGCCCGACGCCAAGGGCAAGCCAAGCAACCCGTTCATTGTCAAGATCACTCGGGACAACTGCAAGGCGCTGGGGGTGCCCAACTACTTCGACTTTATCCAGGAACCCATGGACCTCACTCGCGTTGGCGAAAAGGTACGATCGACCATCACTCTGTTGTGTTCAACACACTGGACCAACACTCTTTCGTTTAAAACATGCTTCGACTGGATAAAAGATGGTTTAATACCTTGGAATAGGTGCACAAGCAAGCGTACACCAAGCTCGACCAAGTGGAGGCGGACGTGGCGCTATTGGTGGCCAATGCGAAGCGGTTCAATCGAGAAGGCGACCCGGTGCATCAGATGGCAATCGAGTTCCAGAAAGCGTTTGACGACAAGCTCAGGGAAGTGTACCGGCCGATCATGGACGACCTTGCCGCGACGCGGAAGAAGCAAAAAAAAGAAAAAAAGAAGAAAAAGGACAAAAAAAGCAAGGACAAATAAGTTCATCTTGGATTATATTCATAATAGTGTGTCGTCCACACTATTTCGACAAATCTTTCAAAAGAATAGATATATAACTTGTGGTGTAGAACGGATATATATATATATTATATGAAGTTTTTTATTGATGGAGTTTACATTGGGTTGACGTCATGTCAGGGGCGTGGAAGCATCGACAGACGGTGGACCCCAAAGGTACATGGGGACGACAGGAAGGGCATACGCCCACCAATTGGCGCCAAAGTACAAGAGGAGGTTGCCACGGAGTCCCAGATCGTTTCCGCGCCGCCGCGCCATAAAATCCAGTGTCGTGCGGCCTTGAGCAAGGAGGTACACATGGAAGCAAAAGTACCCGAGAAGCAGCAAGCCGACGACGATGGAGAGCAGCACGGTGATGCTGAGGAGGCTCGACGACGAAACTCCGAGCAATGCACAGTTGGCAAACCAGAGGCAAGCGAGGGACGTGTAGAGCAAAAACAGCACAAACAGTTTCTTCGTGCGGAGCCCAACGCAGTTGCCTGTCCACGGGCAATGGTGGTCCATGTGGGCGATGCAGCGACCGCACACGGAGCAGTGGTGGAAGGTCTCGGGTTTGATGCGGTCGCATTTCTCACAGTACCGCGCTTCGCCATTCTCGACGTCCCCTGCAGTCGAGTCGTCATCGTCGTTGAGAATGGAGACGGGAAACGAAGGCGACACGAACACCGTGCCAGCGTAGCTCACGAGCATGAGCGACGTGAGCACGACGTAGATGGCGACATGCATGAATGGCACGCGGACGTACACGATCATGCAGACGATCTTGAGTGTCATGAGACAGCATGTGATACCTACAAAGGCTTTCACCATCGCTTGATGTGGTTGACCCGCCTAAGAATAACGTGCCAAAATCGCGTTGAAAACTGAGAGATTCGAGCCAATCAAAATGATTGAAATCAAGCATATTCATGAAAATGCAGCCAATCAAATCACTCTATGAAGAAATACATTTCGCTCAAAATAGTTCTCCCGACAAAACAAGTCCATATCCAACACTGGTGGTATAAATACTGTACTGGTACTATTTTCGTTCAAAATAATCTCCGACTTTCTAATCCATTTGTTCCGAACTCCTCATAGAAAGATCGCTCCCCATATTGAATGGCTACATGATCAATAGTACCCAGCATGGAGCGTAACAAAGTCTACTTCTTTCAATGCTACGTCCACTAGGCCTATTGCGGGTAGTCTACTCAGGGCGAGATGTCCTGGTCTACTTTTTTGGGTCGTGGTCGGTCTTGCTTGCTGTTGGATCGACGAGTGTTGGAGGTCGTAGGTCGCTGGGGCTTCTCGCCGCCTTCAGTCGCTTTGGGAACATACGCGACACGTTGAGGAGTAGCGTTGCGTTGGTTGCCACCGTTCTGTTCCTGTTGGTCGGGAGTTTTGGGGTTTCGGGGCTGGTACACCTTGCGTGGTTTGTGAGGCTTGTCGCCACCTTCGCCGCCGGCTTCCCGCGGCGAGTTCTTGTTGCGACGGTTGCCAGAATGCGGACGCGACTTGTTCGTTTGGGGCGCCGCAACGGGTACCTTCTCGACTACATCAACCACAACAAACGTTTCTTCTTCGCTGCGTACATCCGTTGCAGCGTCGGAGGGCGTGATGGTCGCGTCGTTGTCGAGCTCGGATTCCGTGAAAAAGTTGATTTGAGGGGCGACTTCCACAACAACCTCCTGCTTTGGAGCAGGTCGCGGCGCCACCAAGTGGTCGACGGCTTCCGACAATTGCCGGTACGACATGTCGCATGCCAAGATTTTGTCGCTCTTCAACACATATCGCTTTGCTTCTTCGAGGGATTCCGCGAGGTTTTCAGGAAACGACACTTCAGCAGGTGGGCGGGTGCCACCGACGAGAACTTTGACAAAGTAGTCCAAAGCCATGGGCACGTCGTGGCCAAGCGCTTGATGCAAGCTCACGGCATGCAGAAGTTTCAAGACGGAGTGCACAAATTCCAACTTTTCGTCGTCCAAATCGACAGCGTTCACAATGGCATTTGTGGCCGACGTCGCAGAGTCCACAGACGCAGCCTTGTCCTCGTCGTCCAAATCGTCGACCGGATCATTGCCATTGTCAGACACGTCTTCGTTCAAGTGGTTCAACGAGGATACATCCCCTTCTTCCGAAGGCGTCACAACAGCCACATCCTCATCGTTCTTGGCCTCGGGCGTCGTGTTCGCAGCAGGCGCCGCAATCACGGTCTCGACGAATTGTTGACGCAACGCTTCCAGTTCGCCAATCATCTTGTCGACAAATCCCTTGTTCGACAGCACCTCCAGCTGCTGCTCGTTCAATTGCTTCGATTGTCCTTTCAACGAATCCTCCAGCGCCTTGATCTTTTCCTGTTTCTTCTTGAACGAGCGCAACTTTTTGTTCAACACGACGGCATAAGGATGGTTCAACGACGCATAGTCCACGACGACCTCCTCTTGCTTGGCATTCTGCTTGCCCTTCTTGGCACCAGCATCCTTCTTCTTTGTGGGTTGAGCGTCATCCTTCAAGGTTGCGTTGCGAGCCATTCCCATGCTGTGACGGTCTGTTTGTTGGACGGACTTGTGATGAGATCTCGGCGAATTTGAAAATGCCATCGCAACATGAAATTCCAGAGAATCCCCGCCGCGCGTTTCCGTGTATTATCCGGATCCGGGTGAAATTCGTTGAATCTTGCAGTCCGTGGAAAATGGAATAAATATAGATTGTTCGAGGTAACTTTATCTTATCTGAACCAGGAGGTTTTTGAAGGCCTGGATTCCGGATATGTCCGGATATTGTATCTCTCCAGACCATAGATGTGATTCGTATCCGGATATGCGGTTTACCAGTGGTATATATAAAACAATAGAGGTATATTTTGGCGGGATATTATTGGTTATCCGGATACGTCAGAATACCACTCGAATATGAGCAACAAGGCTGCGGCGAAGAAGGCGGCGCTGGAACTCCTGGATTTGTGCAAGAAGGATGGAGTCCGCCTTCCCACAGATTCCATGAATGCCATGGTCCAGGCTGGCACGATGTTAAATGCCACCCGTGCCGACGGAGAATACAACCTGCAGGCAGCGTTGGCGGCAATGACAGAGAAATTTGGCGCTACAACGCCCGCTGTCGAGACGAAGAAACGAAAGGCGGCGGCAGGTGACAAGGTGACCAAGAAGGAAAAGGACGAGTCTGTCAAGGAGGAGGACGGCGATGTCGACGACGACGGCGGCGCAACGTCTCCTGCCGCGAAGAAGAAGAAGAATGTGGCACAAGCCACCGTTGCCAAGAACCAAGCGTTGGCGGAAGCGTTTTCAGACCTGGCTGGGTTCGAGTTCAAGAAAGGGGACCGGTTCAAGGGCGGGTCGTACTCGAAGGTCGCCAAGGCCATCCGAGATGCAGAAGACGAGCTCACGTCGGGAAAGCAAGCGATGAAGCTGAAAGGCGTGGGGAAAGCAAGTGCCACCAAGATCGACGAGTTTTTGGAAACCGGCAAAATCGAAAAGTTAGAAGAGTACCGGGCAGGCAACATGTAATATAGCGTGTGGAATCGTATGCAAGTATATTTCCATATCATGCTGTTACAATCTCCACGAAGGACCCCAATGCAACATGTCTAGCAGGCGCTGAAAACTCCAGCTTATATGAACTCAATGCCGAAACACCAAGCTTTCGTTAAGGTACAAATTTCATTGAAATGCTTCATATCTGACAAATAAAGTGACAACGTTAAGCCACACTACAGTGAACTGTTGTGTAATCCTGTATAACTCGGGCATATTGCAGTTCCCGCATTCGCAACTCATGGTGCCATGTGTCACAACTTTCCAGCGCGAAAGTCTTCCAGTTCTTGCACAGTTCCCGTGGCCAAAAACTCGTCGATTTTGGCTGCCGAGTGCGGTCCAATGCCTCGGACTCGCATCGCTTGCTCGCCGCTCGTGATTTCGTCCTCCAAGTCTCGAATGATCTTGGCAATATTCGAATGCGCTATGCCCTTGTCGCGATCCCCCCGCTTGAACTCGTAGCCCGCCAACTTGACAAACAACTTGGCAAACGGTTGATTGTTCGGGTTGGTGGCGGGGAGGTGTTCTCGCTTCTTCTGCCCCGGCGACTCGTCGTCGTCGTCGTCGCTGCTGGCGGACTCGTCTGCCGCCGCCGCCTTCCCCCCCTCTGGTTTCTTGGTGGACGCCCGTCCCCCCTTTCCACTCTCTTCGACTCCCTTGTCGTTCGGGTGATTCGTGTTGTTGTGCTTTCCCTTCTTGTGGTAAGGCTGCTTGTGAGTCTTGGACGCCCCATACTTTGCCGCCATTTCCTTCAACGCCGCGTGCAAATTGTATTCGCCGTCGAGACGGGTGGCTTGCAGGATATTTCCGGCCTGAATGATAGCATGGGTTGGGTCTGTGGGGACGTGAACCCCTTCCGCCTTGCACAAGTCCAACAGCTTTCCCACTGCTTTCTTCGCCGCTGCCTGGTGGGACTTTGGGTTCATATTGCACTATCAAAATGATAAGGCAATGATAAAAATGACCCCGTCCCACATCCAAACGGGTGCAACATGAATCGGAATGTCAAAACATATTTTCAGTGCTTCTGTGTGAACTTACGTACCATTACCAGAAGCTCCCGTTAGGATATTTATCTGGTGGGACGATGTTCAACGGTACCATGGTCTTTAGTTTTTAACGACCGAATGTATCGAGAGAAGCGAGCCAATCTCTGACACAATCGAAGTTGCCATGAGCTACCACCACAAGCAAAAGGCGGAGAACCCAAAGAACGAAAAGCTGGCGCAAGCCTTTGACGACTTGGCGGCGTATGAGTTCCAGCACGGGGGGCTCAACACGGCCGTGGGGGCGTCATACTCGAAGATCGCCATGGCCATCCGAGATGTGGACGACGAGATCACGAGCGGGGAAGTAGCGATGAACTATCGCGACATTGGGCCCAAAACGGCCGCGATGATTGACGAGTACTTTGAAAAGGGCGAGATTTCCAAGCCCCCGACCAAGGAAATGCACGGGGGGCACCACCACCACCACCATGGCAAGGAGTCGTCGCACCACAAGACTTCGCACCACCGCCACGAGCATCACGGCAAGGCCTCCCCCCGCAACGACGACGACGACGAGGAGGTCGAATCCTTACGTCACAAGATGCGAAGTAAGTTGCCAGCTACAAACCCCAAGAACCACGAGCTCGCGAATGCGTTTGAGGACTTGGCCGAGTACGATTTTCATCGCGGTCAAGTGAGCGCCGGCGCGGCGTACTCGAAGGTGGCGATGGCTATTCGCGACGCGCGACAGGAGATTACGAGCGGCCAGCAAGCGTTCGAGGAGGTGGACGGCATTGGACAGAAGAGCGCTGCCAAGATTGACGAGTACTTGGAAATGGGCCACATCGCCAAGAGTGACGAGGGGTCCCCCGACGAAGAAGAAGAAGGGACCTCGAAGTACCACCACAAGAAGCATGGCCATAAGGTGCATTAGCGATTGGAGTGGCGTGAAATGGAACGAAATGGAAACGGCCTAGTGTAGTTGTATTGCATTGACAAAAAATAAGTTGTGTGTATCATGTCGGCCTTGAAAGCAGCCCTGTGCAACCTCAGGGGTATCCAGTTTTCAGGGGCGAAAGGGGAGACTTCGGAGTGGGGACAAATTCCAGGAAAAAGTGTCGAAATCGGAATAACGTTAGTCTTCTTAACCCAACTCTGTGTTGATCATTCATGATCACATTAGCACGAAATAAATAGTACGAAGTAATTTTAACGTAAAAAACCAATTTAAGATAACTTTTTTGGGGGGGTCGTAGTAGAATGGACATAACTTTTGAGTCCGTTACGATATTTGAGTTTTGAATAGTGATTCCAATAGGCAAGACCCGCCTCTTTGACTTCATAATCGAATTATCAGTTTAGGCGATGAACTTCACAGGTAAATTTGTTACTTTCTAAGCATTTTTACTCACATTTTGATAATCAATTTAGGATAACTCTTTTTATCTTAAAGTATGTATGTATCTGAGCATTGAAATTCTGTGTTTAGGGTAAGAGGTTACAACAGGTTTTATATAATTTATACAAGGGTACTGTTTTACTGTTTTATAGAGTTATATTTCTGTTGTGGACGGATGTCCACCGAGTTTAACACTCGACAAAACCTCAGATCCAACCCAATTGTGGCCCATGTCGACTAGGGAACTTCGCAACCCAATCTTGAATGACATAACCAACGGCTTCTACGCCGTTTTGGCATTTCATTCACGTGACGGAATGGCCAGCATTATATGATAGAGGTTTTGACTCGAACAAATAACGAGGTGTGATTGGGCAATACAAAGTTATCCTAAATTGGTTAAGTTATCTTAAATTGGTTTTTTACGTTATAGTTGTATTGTGGATTCGGTACATATTTCCAGACCCCGTCGAAATTCGCGCGAATGGACGATAACTTTGTTTTTTCGAGCATACGAAGGGTCACGACATGGTAAGTTCCTTAACATAGTGCCGGCGATGTCAAATGACAAATATACATATGTCCAAGTGTCTTTTATACACCCTGTAACAAACATGCATAATTAGCTACTGCGGTACTTTGTCCAGTCCGACGACGCCCGCCTCCTCATTTCTCGTCGGGCGGCTGGATCTTGCCAGTGTCCAAGTATTCATCAATCTTGGATGCACTCACGTCGCCAATGCCCCGCACATCCTCCTTCGCTTGGTCGCCGCTCGTAATCTCTTCGTCCTTGTCTCGAACAGCCCTGGCAATCTTGGCATAGACCGCCCCCGACCCAGCCTTGCGTTCGAACTCGTGGTCGGCGTACTCTTCCATCGCTTCCGCCACATCTTGGTTCTTGGGGTTTTTCGCATGTTTATGCTTTCTGTCCTTGTAGCACGACACTTCTCCATGTCCGCCGTGCGACGACTGACGGGGCGACGATGATTCGTGAACCCCGAAACCTTGAGTCGTTAATGAGCCGGATAAAACCTGACGCGCATTGCATATACATCGGATCGTTATGTCGTTGTGGTGGACCGTTAATTTCGGATAAAACGTGGAATACACCCGCTGCAATAAATAACTAGGTCACCAAACCAGTTCGTCACATATTTCGGAAGAGCATGAATGTTTCAGTGAAAGCCTCGTTTATATCCAATATGCTTTAGCTATCGTTACTGATGACTTGCTCTGGTATTTCTGAAGAAATAGAGTGTTTTCCTCATGAGTCTGCAATTCAGCAATATCCCAGTCATTTCCAAAATGACTCGATAGTAAGCGATAACAGAGTAGATCGGAATCTAGGACAAAGTTTCCATATTAAAATAATTCAGATATATTTATACTTGTTGTTTGTATGCATTTTATTATTACTACTCTATTGCATACAAATTTCAAATAATTGATTAAAAACCACATGTATTTATCAGCTACTCGCCATGGGAGGCAAGGCCACGTGAAGTACGTACGGTTGGCGCGGGCAGCTTCCGTCGCAAACCGCTCTGCACGGCGCTGTAGGTATCTGCGTTGGTTCGCGGCTCTCTTTGAGGTGTTCGCAGCTACCACACACTTGTGCGTGCCATGACGGCACGATAGTAGTCATTGTCCTCGAGGCGCAACGGCTTCATACTTCCATGACGGCTTCGCCGTATTCAGACTTTGCTGGAGGTCGAGGATATCCGAGGCAGTCTGGTCCTGGAGGCGCTCCATCATAGACGACATATTGAGACGCATGGTACACAGGAGATGAAAGAGATGAATTATGAGTTACGAGTAAAGGAATGGTTAGAAGGCACTCTTGAGGATGTGAGCTGTCGTTGTGATTGACGCGAACAATTTACAGCCAACGAGAATTTGAGTCCAAGAGCGATGGAAATATACCTCTATATTTACATATTTGATCAGTAACTTCATATTTGACAAGTAGATGAGTAAATTACGAGGTTTCTTGATCACTGCTCTGCTGTAGTTGTCAATCTTTCAGCCAAAGAGTCAGTAGATAATTTTATCGTATATATATCGTCAGTTGAGGCACAAAATGCGAAATATCTCGATATGATTCCAATATATTGCACTATTTGAGCAAAAACTGTGTAATTGGTCCAGAGGCCTACTGTACCGTAGTAAATTAACAAATACTATAAATATTGTGAATTCGCCAAAACTCGCGCGTGGTTTGTCGAATCAAAATTGAATCACAATGAAGTTTTGATTGGTTGAATATTCTTGTCCATTCTATCCGAGCCAATCAAATCCACACAAAATTGGATTAGCCATTAGCATCAATTCGATCGATTTTTATAGCAGCACAATTTAATCTTGCAAATTACATTGTTCGACGATTATCCGGATATGGCCCGGATAACGTACAATTGAGCGTGGTGATTGTTGTCGCGGCGCCAACTTGGTGGATGGACTTCTCAGTGTCGTTCCTTGAGAACCTCTATGAAAGCGAAGAGATCGGCCAAGACATCTCGCACGTAGCCGCGCCGTCGTCCAGTCCAATTAAGACAGCTGCATGTGCTTCTCCAAGGACGGCGCTGGCATCGGCGACCTTAACTGTGGTTGCCTCCACCACCAAGTCGCACCGCCGGGTTGCGTCCTCGGCACTAGCTACACCTTCTCCAACGAAGCGAACAAAGAGAACAACCCCAAACCAAAAGGATGAAGAAGGACACGGTACACCGCGACGCCGATCGCCCAGGAAACATGCGTCCACGCTGCTGGCCACAGCAACTATGCAAGGAGTTGGTACATTACAACATAATCTCTCCGACAACGCAACAGTCCATCGAAACGAAGGCCCATCTGTCCTTCTCACATCCAAGCCGGACCTTTCTCTACCTTCTTCTGCACAAGTACCTCACCATGACGACCCCGCTGCCTCCACCGATCCTACGTCTACCCTGTCGCCATCATCTCGTCCAGTCCTCCAAGCAACCAGCATCTCTCCGACCGCTCCAGTATCTCCATTGTCCATCCTTCCAGGCTCCCCCGCCGCGGCTGCGTCGCCTACCATCACAGTCGCCTCATCCCTCGTTCCAAGCCCCCCACCTAATCCAGCAAACGTCGACCAACCTCCCTCCACAGACGTAAGTACGCCATCCTGCCCGTCCATCCCATCTTGAGGATCGACTGTCCCAACTCGATCTTACTTGACAGACTCTGTTGGCGAATGTGGCCCCGTCCTCTGAAATGCCACCCCCCCTCACTGGGCAACAAGTGCATTGCGTTCGCCATGTCGTGCTGTCTCGCCGGTTGGCTTCTGGATGGACGGGCGTCGACGCCGCCGTCCAAGACATCCAGCGGGTCGTGGAGCGCACGGTTCTGTACGGAGAAAACCAAAGCGCCATGCTGGTCGGGTCCAGCGGCAGCGGCAAGCGCACCGTGGTCGCGAAAGCACTCGCCCAGCTCCCCACTCGATCGTTTCACGCCGTGTACCTTAGTGGAAGTGTGCTCGGAAATGACATGGAAGCATTTCGAGAGATTGTCCAGCAACTGGTGCCCCAACAAGGCAGCATCGTCGGCCACGCGGTATGATCGGCCTAAATTTGGCCTTTTTTTGCAGAGTTTTCGCCAAATATTGATCGGATTTTGGACTTGACTTGCTTTGTATTGTCCTTTTACCCCAAAATATTTGGACTTTTGTGCTGATTCGTTGCCAAATCTATCCCCGATTTGTCCTGACTTTTGGATGGAAAGATCGTCCAGTATCACACTAATTTCAGTCACACACACTAATTCGGTGTTGACTTGGTCGAAGAGAGAATTTGATTGGCCACTTGATTCGTGTTCTTGGTTTTGATTGGTCATGTATCGATTGTCTGCCGATTTGGTGCTGCTCATTCGATTAAAAACCCAAACACTCCAATTTTCAATCGACAATATGTACAAAAGGTGTTCTGTGGTGATTGGCATTTCACACTAATTCAAGGCACACACAAGAAATTGATGTTGAGTTCTGCAACCGGATTGGCTGCTCAAGGCTACGTCTACCAATGCCTATGTACACATTTGCATGTTGTCGACAAATTTAAATTTATATTTTCAAAAAAATAGTTCTCTTTTAAATTTAAATTTAATAAATAAAATTCTTTTAATTTTAACAAAAAAGTATCTTAAAAAAAACTTTTTTTAAAATTTATTTAAAAAATATTTTTTTAAAATTAATTTGATAATTATCAAAATTGCTCATTCTTCAGCTTGTTTCGCTCCAGTTTACAGTATCATATGGTAGCGTGCACCTACTGCTGCTGGTTGCTATATAGCTGAGTGATGGTTTTGATTGTATGATTGTATGAATGTATTTGACATACTTTAGCGTCTTGGTGGCGATGTATGTATGATGGAGTTGTATTCGGCTTTATATGAATCGTTGGCTGAATATGCAATCAATATATATTAGTCTGCCGTTGCTTCTTGAATAAATATATACTTTGAAGTATATGTATATATAACTTGCGTATTGGACGCCGTATCCTAGTTTCAGAATTTGAGGCTTGACGATATGAAGCAATTATATATATATATCTATATATATTGTGCATTCGAGTGAGATTTCTTGTTGTGGCGTGATTTCTCGTTGGAATTTAAATCGATTTGATTGGCTACTTCAGATGAGCTCAAAATTATTAGCCAATCAAAACCTTCTCAATAAAATTCAACCAATCAGATCGATTGTGGAGCGGTTTCGTAAGCGCGATTCGATTGCACCCCCTCCCCAAATTTGTATCAAATCGACAATATATTGATGCTATTATTATTCATGATGGGAAGAGACAAATATATATATTATTGATGCTATTATATTCGTGATATTATATTTTGTGTAGGCCATATCTTTCTTCAACATGTACGACTTGCTCAAGCAGTTGCTGCTGCAAAAAGCCCTTCAAGAGCACGCCGTCATATTTATCTTGGATGCGTTCGATGCGTTCGTGACGGGCGCCAAGCAGTTGCTCGTGTACAACTTGCTCGACTGGATGCAAGTATGTCCTGTGTATATATATTGTAAATTCGCTATATATTTCCGAAATTCGCGTGGTTTGTCTACTTCTCGATATTGAATTACACGCTAAAAGTTCTGATTGGTTGAGTATCATTGTCCTTTCCGTAAGAGCCAATCAAATCCACTCAAAATTGGATATTAGCCAATAGTTAGCGTCGATTTGGGATTCGATTATTCGGCGGCGAGATCATTCGATTCGACGGGGTCTGGAAATTTGTACTACCGAATCCACCATATATATTAGTCTTGTTTATTCCGAGTATTATTTTTCAACGATGCAACCGACGTACGTTGCTTATCAAATGTCTTTATAACCGCCTAAGCCAATCAAACAATCACGTTCTAGTGAATTTCTGCCAATCCAAACGTTTGACTCGACCCAGCCCTCCGCATGATTGGGCAAAACCACCTATAGACTAACATTTGTAAAGTTTAGTGTGTTCAAGCTTAAATGAGATCGAGTGGATTTGTATGCTAAACTAGTATTTGGTGGAATGACTTTCACTAGTCCATATTTCGGTGAAATGTACAATAGTATCTACCCCAAATCTATCACCCCCGCGTATCCATAACCGTGTTGCGGCGTATGAACGTATATAAATATGATATATATATATATTGTGCTTGGAGCCAAAATATGTGGATATTTGGATCTAAATCGATCAATAGATAGTTTGCACTACGTATAACTGCATTTTAATGATAGTAAAAACGCAAATGCCCCGTGTCACATAAGACCTATACAACCATGGTGTGGTCGAATGAATTTGATTGGCCCCTTGATTCGTGTGCTGGGTTCTGATTGGTCGTTTATTGAGTGTCGCTATTCAAATCGACAAATTCACAACAAATACATGAATTCTAGTCCAAATTCACAACAAATACATGAATTCTAGTCCAAATTCACAACAAATACATGAATTCTAGTCCAAAGACGTGCGCGTGGCCCTCGTGGGCATTTCGTGCAACTTTAACGTGTTGGCGCAGTTTGAAAAACGCGTTAAATCTCGCTTCTCCAACATCCAAGTGGTCGTGCCGCGGCCGCCCCTCAAGCACATTTTGCAGGTACATATTAGCATATCCACCATATCGATCGAAGTCGTCGGCAGTAGCTGGTGCGCTGCCCATCATGGAAAAAATCTGCGACATCGTCGTTGTTGGCAGTAGCTGCGACGTGGTTACCCCAAAAAGACTTTTTCGGTGCAGGGCAAGACTAGATCTTGCCAGTTTTGAATGAAATTTGCGCTTGGATCGTTGGTAGATGATATTTATATTTATATTGCCCTTGCAGCCAAACTTTGGACATTTTATGGGCCAAATCCATCGATCGATTTGTTGTACTGAATTTTATATATACTAAAGTGTACGTGACTATTTGTTGTTGATTGGTTGAGCTCGTCATGTGGATTTCCTGCAATCGGATTGGCCAACTGCTTTGGCCGATTCTGCTGTACATACACATTGTCGATATATTCGTCGCTCGTGCTATCTTTGATAACGTTTACACACATTTCAACCCCATAAATTAGATATACTAGTACGAAATAAAATATCATCGTGTTGATTCGCAACTTTCATTCATAATCTGCTGGATATTGAGATAAAGTCTTATATGTACAACCGCGTCGCAACTACTGCCACAACGTCGTCGCAGATGTCATCCAAAATGCGTCGGCTCTTGTCGTGCCTGTATCTCATATTTGTATGTGTCTAGTTGCTTTGGTTGTCGTTTCAATTTATCATCCCTCGCCGCCATCATCATCATCCACCAAATTCCACTCTTGAAATCCCTTTGACCAATCACGAAGACCACACCACCAGTAGCAAGGCGACTACAACCATGATCGAGAGCGTGGTCAACTGGCCGGCGCACGTCCCCGCCCCCCCCGACGCCTTTCACGAGCACTGGGACACGTCGTTGCATCGGCTCTTGTTTGACCAAACCCACTGGTGGTGGCAGTACCTGTATGACCTGGGGAAACCCACCGACGTGTTTGTGCAGCTGCTGCACGTCGCCATGACGCACCTGACGCCGTCCGCCCCGTGTCTCGATGCATCGCACGTTGACTTGGCATGGAATATGTTGTACCCCAACCACGTCCTCCATACATTGCGAGGTAGTTGAATACATGTGTTTGACTCCCAGGATGTATGTATATATATATATATATATATATAGTGACGGGAATGTACGTACGTACTTGGGTTGTGAACGAATGGTAGTAGTTACTGTCGTAGGTCGAAGTAAAAAGGACGAATGATGGTGGGTTTTCTCTGTCTTGGATGTAGGATTGGTGTATGTAGTACTGAAAATTTGTATTCATGTGTATATATTATATACTTTGTTGGTCAAATCTGAATCCGACACCATAGCGTTATGTTTCAGGCTTGTGGTTATCATATACTTCGAAGTATATATATATATATATATATTAGTATATCGTTGATCAAATCCGACATCGTTCAGTTGTGTTGCATGAATGTGGTTGTGATCTTTATATATATATATATATATATATATATATTTCTATATGCGACACAATAGAGTTGTGTTACATAATTGTGGTTGATCTATATTAATATATCGTTGGTCAAATCCGAATATCTAGTACGATTGTGGTTGATATATATATATATAGTTTAGTACATCATTGGTCTAATCGACACAATATGTTTCATACACTTGTGGTTGTTGCGTACATGTGTGTGCTGTTAGTGCCAATCCTTTCGCCATATTGAAATCACCATCCACCTTCGTCGTGGTTGTCCGTAGGTCTGACGACGCGGGAAATGACGCTGGTGCTGGGTATGATTGGACTGGAGCGGCGCCACGTGGCCCCGTACTCGTTTGAGATGGTATTTCACGAATGCCAAGCATTTTACCGCCAGCACGCGCTCCAATATCCCAAGCGCCGCGAGTTGCTGGACGCGCTCAGCAACTTGCTGGCCACGCACGTGGTCCACCCAGCAACGACCAAACAACAGCAGCATCAACCAGAGTACTGTCTCGTACGACTCGTGCTACGACCAACCGACGTCCTCGACGCCATTCGACGAAAACTCGTGCCAGTTACGACTGTTGTCGACCAGTGGGCCACGAATACGCTGCAATAATAATAGTAGGACGACATACTAGGAATTTTAAAATATATTGCCAAATGTTTCGACTCGAGTTGGCAGCCTCACTTTGCAACAGAAAAGATATGACATGGAAAAAAAGGACGAAGGGTCTAAAGTATTTGCTTTGGATTTGTGACTACTGTATGTGTGTGTTGCTCGTCCTTATGTACATACCTTGCTTGTGACAGTGTGTTGTAAATAATAATATCTAGGGTCGGCGATGGTAGGAATGGATGTCGAGGGATATACGAGGAGTGTGAGGACAATATTATAGTATTAATAGATTGCAATTTTCAATCTATTAATACTATAATAATAGGAGGGGCTATTTCGCGTAACGTAGCTACCAATATTCCTATCATCCTCTTTATCGACGAGAATAACTTTGAAGGATGCATCCACAGGTGTGGTTGGTCCTTGGCTCCAATCAACAACAAAGACCTCGGCCGTTGTTGTGCTATGAATCTCTTCGCTGGTTGCCAACGTGACGATGGAGGCTTTTCGTCGCTCGTTTCTCGACGTGACGAGGCTCTCGACGGCAAACACAGCGAGGGCGATCCACACAAATGCAAATCCAGCCAGTTTGGCGGTAGAAAACGCCTCGTGGTAGACAAACACCCCCAGGGCAAACGTGAGCATAGGGCCGATGTACTGGAGCAGGCCAAGCAGCGTGAACGAGATCTTTTGGGCGGCAGAAGCAAACAGCAGGAGTGGCACGACGGTCGCGACGCCGGACCCGATCAAGAGCCAGTCGTCCGCAGCGTACTCTGGCGTGTGGAGGAAGGCCCCCGTGCCTTGCAACTCGAACGCCACAAGCCCCACGACGGACGGGACGACGAGGACGCCGATTTCAAGCACGATCCCGTCCACCGAGCCGATGGGGGATGTCTTCTTCATCAACCCGTACAGGGCTAGACATGTGCCTATACCCAGCCCCAGCGAAGGGAACGACCCGATCGCAATGGCTACCACGAGTACCCCCGACATGGCAACTCCCACTGCCACCCACTGGGCCTGTCGAAGGGGCTCCTTCAAAACCACCACGGCGAGCACGACGCTCAACACGGGATTGACGAAGAACCCGAGGCTGATCTCGACGAGGTACCCGCCCGACACGCCAAACACGTACAGCACCCACGTCCCTGCTAAGAATGCCGCCGACAACGCGTGGTGGCCGAGGGTGTTTCGTGTGAATGCTGTCGTGGTAAAGTGCTTCAAATTGCTTTGCCATAGAAATAGCGGAACGAGCACGACAAACGACCACACGACACGGTGGAGGGCCACTTGGAGTGGGGGAATATGATTGAGTTGCTTGAAGTAGAGCGGATACAGGCCAAAGATCGTGAACGCCGACGCAGCCGACGCCATGCCGACTGTGTGAGGGCTGATCATGGCGCTGTTGTGTTGGTCGAGCCAATTTGAATAATGAATCGGCATGATCGTGGGAGGCAAAAACCAATCGTCGCAAATTGATTCTTGGGCGCACATCGAATTCGACGGCTAACGTTATGCCTTGTAAGTGCCTAATTTGGGTGCGGGTTGGTAATCAATGTAAATAGACACTTCTTTATGCGCAATCAAACTGCCACACCGCAAATCCGTTGTTGTTTGTAGCCGCGCAATGAGCGTTGAGTGACGATACGAGATCAGGAGTACTTGGTCTTCCCTAGCCCATTATTATAGGTCAATCGCTGCTGGCAATACAATGTAATGCCAATGGTCCTGTGGACGTTAGCAAGACATTTTTGCTGTGCTAGGTGAATTGCTTTCGCAGGTACCGTTTGTATACATATTCTGTGATATATGATAAATAATTTATTGAAAATCCGTCAAGTTCTATGAAATTTGGTACTGTGGAATTTTATCCTAATTTTGGAAACAAAGACTGGAGTCGTAGTACCTCGAAGTATATTATTAATAGTATTTGTCCGTTAGGGGGCGATGACATTTTCATTCCAACGTTGACATGAAAGTGTAGGTTTTCAAACGTACAATGAAGGTTGTACAACCCCATACTGCACTTCAAGCATCATCTCACTCAGCACCCTCCACGCGAATTTACATTATTGTTAATACTCCATCCATCCAGTAACTTACTGTACGGGAATCTCCTACACCTATCCAGCTCAAGCTCGCTACAGTACTCCATCGTTTCACATCACAGCTCTACATGTACTATTTACCAAGTTATTGTTTTCATATTGCACACCACAAGAATCCCCCGCAAGGACTCCAACATCTAGATGGCACCAACACGCATTGGATGCATAGAGTCCTCGGCACCACACGCACTGCCGCCAATGGTCGAGGAACGTCTGTATCTTGCTTGCTTACGCCTTGTTGACAGCAATCTCGTCTACATACACTCCTTTGGGCGTTGTTGTTTTTATATAGCCGACTTGTCCGTCGTCGGCGTTGTGGTGATGGTTCGATTGACTAGTCGACTCGTCCTCCTCTTCCGTGGGCGCATTGGATTGGGTGCGCCGAAGAATTCTCGCCATGACGACGCTTTCGACGGCAAACACCGTCAGGGCCAGCCACACGAGGACGAACCCCAGCAGCTTGGGCGTTGAGAACGGTTCGTTGTACACAAACACCCCAATGGCAAAGTTCATGATGGGCCCAATGTACTGCAAAATGCCGAGTAGTGTGAACGACATGAGCGGGGCCGCGGACGCAAACAAGAGCAGGGGCACGACTGTCACGACCCCGCAAAACACGAGGAGGACGTTGGTCGTGGTGGAATTGCCTACCCGGAGGAAAGCCCCCGTGCCTTGGGAATCAAACACACATAGTGCCACAAGTGATGGCACGAACAAGAACGCCATCTCCAACGTGACGGCGTCCAATGACCCGAGCGGCGCCGTTTTCTTGATAAAGCCATAGATCGACAGCACAATTGCCAACGACAAGCCGAGCCACGGGAACTTGCCGTACGCTACCGCGACGACCAGCACCCCTGCGAAGGCTAACGCTACCGACACGATCTGGTACCGTCGTAGGGGCTCCTTGAGCACCACCACTGCCAAAATGACGCTAAAGATTGGGTTCATGAAGAACCCTAGCGACGTTTCGATGATGTAGCCTGACAGAACGCCCCACATAAACAGCATCCACGCGCCGCCCATGGCGATCGCAGCCGTCAAGTAGATGGCCATCGTCTTGGGCTTGGTCAAGGCCGTGGCGCGGAAGTTGGCCCAGTCGCCGCGCCATAAGAACAATGGCACGAGTAACACGAACGACCACACGATCCGATGCAGCACGATTTGCACCGATGGGACGTTGTGGATTTGCTTAAAGAACAGCGGGTACATGCCGTAAACAGTGAACGCCACCACGGCGTACGTGATGCCAAGTTGGCTGGACATGACGATGCGTCGGTCTTTCTTGTGGCTATGAAATGTGAAAATGCGCATGTTTGGATTGACATATTCAATTTGCCAATCAAGTACTACCGGTACAGTACTAAGTAAGACCATGTGTTCACTGATCACTTGGTAATCATCTCCGTTTGAAAACCGTTCGTGAAGAACTCAACTCGATAAACCAACGAAACAAAGTTTACTTCACGTCAGCTGCAAATGTAAACTTTTGTAGGGTACAGTATGTGTCCACGTGGACTGCAAGGTACGAAGATGACGAGATCGTCGTAGTACGATGGCGGTACATACTTTGCAGTTCACCAAAAGCAATACAAATCGAAAGCCTCTTCGAATGGATATCCTGTATGATACAATGTCATTCAAACAAATTCCAATGTGACTCCGCTGAATACATCCTTTAATACATCATATATCTATTATATATATAATTATTTATATGGATTTCAAATATCCGTGATAGAATCATGTGTCATCCAAACGTCATCCCAACGTCATCCACCATTAATATTAGGTCATATCCTAATTAGTATAGATGAGAGTAAATTAGGATAATGCTAGGTCATTGTATACAGGCCTCGTCCGGGAGCGGCACGGCCTACGGCCTACCTGCCGCTGCCCGACAAGAAGAAAAGATAGATCATTCGGTGAAGTGAGATGCTTAGATCCGCGCTCTCGTACGGCCGCGCTTGCGCAGACGGCCTCCCGGGCGCTCGGGGCCAACGTAAGGCTTGGTCACTACTTTAGGTTTCATCCCACAACTTCATCCAATGTCATCCAAATTTCATCCACATGTCATCCATGCTTTTAATTCAACAATTATATTATATTAACCATAGTATCCAAGGTTGGTATTAATATTCAATGCTGTCCCCTAAGTCTTAATTATTGACACGAGGTATAATTCCTCATCAGTCCAACCTTGGAGTGACGTACGTACTGTAGGATCCTTTAGCCTAAACTGTAAACTGTAAATGAAATTGTCATGTCGATTCGCTACACACTTGCAATCTTGGAGTGGTTGTCTTTTCAAGAATCCCGCTGGAGCTTTTCATTGGCTGAATATCCTTGTCATTACAGATAGAACCAATCCGATCCACTCCAAATTGGATTATTAGCCAATTGTGTCGATTCGTGCGTGATTTGATGACGACGCGATGTGGCTATTTGTATCCACAATATAACGCGTACACTATTTTAATTAACACCGTACTACTGTATTAATAGCACTTTGTACTTGTACTATTAATATACTGTAATAGTAAAAGAGAAAAAAACAACACCTTGCGACGGTACTACAGTATGTCCCATGCGGTTCCAACGACCACTACACCGTGCCACGTCAGTCGTGCTATGTATGTCCTCGTCTACGCCTTGTCCAGGCGGGCGTTAAACGTGTGGTCTTTGCCAGTATACCGAGCACCTTCGACTGATGTGGCGGCGGCGGCAATGGTAGCCACTTCGTCTTGCGTGAGGGTGAACGTCACTGCATGCGCGTTTTCCACAATGCGGGTAGAGGACTTGGTGCCCGGGATGGGGAAGACGTCGGGGCCTTGGGCATGCACCCAGGCCAGGGCCAGCTGGGCCGGCGTGCAGTGCTTGGCCGCTGCGAGGTCAAAGAACTTAGCGACTTTGGCTTTGCTTTGGACCAACTTGTCGCCAGTATACCGAGGCAGCGTGCGGCGCCAGTCGTCTCCGTCAAGCTTGTCGAAAGTGTCGATTGCGGTTAAGAATCCGCGGCAGAGAGGCGAGTAGGCCACGATGCCGACGCCCAATTCACGGGCGACCGGGACGACGAGCGCTTCCAAGTCGCGGGACTGCAGGGACCACTCCATTTGGATGGCAGAGATGGGGTGGATAGCGTGCGCTCGGCGGAGTTCGCTGGGGGTGCACTCGGACAGCCCAATGTACTTGATCTTGCCCTCCTCCACGAGTGACTTGAGCACGCGAATGGTGTCTTCGATAGGCGTCTCAGGATCCATGCGATGCATGTAATACAAGTCGATGTAGTCGACGTCCAGGCGGGCTAGCGAGTCGGCGAGCTGCGATCGAATCACGGCTTCGGACCCGTTGACAGTAGTCAACCCATCCGGGGCGCGAACTACCCCAAACTTGGTCGCAATCACAAACTTGTCGCGGCCGTGCTGCTTGATTGCCTTGCCCACCAGCTCTTCGTTGGTAAAGTTGCCGCCGCCACCAGCGCCAAACGACTGGTAGATCCACGCCGTGTCCAGAAAGTTAATGCCGAGCTCGAGACCCTTGGAGATCGTGAGCAGTGACTCGGCTTCTTGCGCTGCACGGTCAAAGTTGCCATAGAATGCAGTCATACCCATGCAGCCAAGCCCTTGCGCAGACACGACGAGGCCTTGCGAGCCAAGAGGACGTTGGGGAACCAGAGTCATGACGAGAGTACGAAGTCGTGCGATGTCGAGCGACAGTCGGAAAATGATCTCATCAGGGCCTTTTCACTTTCGTAGATTAGTCCACTTGATCCAAATACCAAACATCACTGTATTCGTGGAGCCGTGGATTTGACTCATTACGTTTTTTCGAATAACGCGATTTATCAATCTTGATGCAAAATGATAGTAGTAGACGCATCCCACCAATGTAGTGGTACCTTTCGCAGCGGATTTTACTTGTATTCCAGTAGTCTATGAATGTCCGTCGCTTTCATCCCCAAACTCTGCCTCTATCTCGAGATGCGTAGCACCAATTGAGCTGGTGTGTGGTAAATATAAAAATTCCTGAATAACAATACGCGTTTCGGATTGGACAGCAATAACAATCAAGCAGCGAAAATCAGGTTTTATTCTTTTGACCACTCGATTATGAAATGTTGGGTATTTTCCAAATGTTGGTCCAAATAACTGAAACCGTGTGCGTGCGATAAAAAAAGATCCATTTATGTAACTCGATAATTCGACCAGCCCACTTCAACCTGCTTTTCTACTGCAAAGATACCGGAGCTATAACGTTTTTGGGAACCCATGTGCACATTGTAGCTCCGCCATGTCAATATATTCACTGCAATTCAATCGCTTGATCGTCACCGTCGTAAACTTTGAATGAAGCGCCGCGTGCATACAATGGTCCAATCGGTTCACTTTGCAAAGATCGTCATGGTGGCATTGGATTGGGTAGTTATGGGCCAATCGCATCGTAGTTGAAGCGGCCTTTCCAGCAAATTTGGACTGTTCAGTCAAAAAGTGAAACCGTTTTTGAGCGAACTTGGCAATATATCTACTGTTACTTGGTGGTTCACGAAACAAATACGAAACGTTACATACTAGGAGACTACTACTAGTATTACTTGCACGATACTAGCACGACATTTTTGAAATTCTCGAGTCGGGGTGAGTGAACGCCAGGTGCATGCAACGTCCTGACACCGTCAATGGTAAGAACGAACGGCACATATTACTGACTGCGATCTCAAGAACCATGCTAGTTGATGTGTGTATTCAACATAGGCTAGCGTAACAAGGTTGGCGTTCAAGTGTGGCGGACATCAGGTACTATAACAAGATGGAACGTGAACATCGTTTGCTTATTGCTTATTGATGGCGTCATATACTGTATGATAGGTCATTTCGATGATGCGACGATTACCGAGGGGTGTGGCGCCGGCACTGGCGAACAACCGTTCACACAGCGACGCGAAATTGGCCTCAAAGACGGCGTTTTTGTCGGGAACGGTGAGTGCTGCAACTTCGTCGTTTGTGTATTTTGAAAACGACAAGATAGTTGAGACTACCTTTTTGACTTTGGTGAAATTAGCTTGGTCCTTTCGGGTGTCAAAGTCCTTTGATCGTAGCGTTTGGAGTGGCGGGATGTTGGTACCAGCATTTCCGGACCACCATAAATTCCATAAGTCATGTACTTTCCCGTTTGGACACGTGTACTTTTCGGGGGGGGGTTGCCGGTTGTAGCCAATTGGTTGATGTGATAGCAGTGTTCACTGTTGTTGATAGCAGCGGCAGAGTAATTCCGTCAGTTAAGGTAGTGCCCAAGGGATTTCGCTGCACCATGTTTTGTAACATCTCTCCTCAAACTGAGCAAGCGTACTCTGTAGTTGGTCCATGGTCACTGATGCCGTGCTACTGATTGTTGCGTCCATCGCAATGCGTAGTTGATGGGGAATGGCATTAAACCTGGGGGATGGCATTAAACCCTTCGTCGACACGATTGGTCAACGCACCCATGTTGGATTCGAGTGCCCTCAACTGGTTGTATAATGGAATGTGCGGAGTCGCCGTCAGCTTGGACACTGGATTGTGCAAGGTACCACCAAGTACCTCAGAGGCAAGGACGGCGAGCGACCCGGACAGCCATACAGGGGACAGGAACAAGGGGTGGCTGTGGTGGAGGTTCCTCTTCAACCACGCTTGGTGGTGAACCAATGAGGCGAGCAGGTACGGTACGGCAGAACGGAACGTTGCGGGTAAAATGATGAATATTCGGGTAAAATGGATTCCCACTGCGACGGACTCAGCGCCATTGTTGGACCAAAGTGCGGTGGAAGTGATCCAAATTCGACATCATTTACGTTAAGTCCTATAATAAAATTTAATGATACATTCTAAATCATTTAATATTTGATTTAATAAAGTACCAGTTGCCGCTCTGCCAACAAATTGATCACCCCCAGAGCCTTCAAATATGTATCGTCCCTGGACCCCCCCGAGACTCCAACCAGCTCGTAGCCATACCAAGACTGCTTGTGGGCCGCCAGGGCTATTTGACAGGGCACTTGCCACACCCTTGCGAAACGAATGGGTACCAATATCCGAAATGGACAGTCCCAACCCGGCGATGTCGTCTTCATTGGCTGCGCATGCCTTCGTCAGCCACGACAAAAACCGCTCTTTTGCATTGTACCCGAATAGGAGCGTCGGGGACTCATGCAGTTGTGCGCCACGAGTAATCTTGTAAAGGGGGGGTTAGAATTGACTAGATGACTTGTTAATGGAATTCGCAAGGTGAGCCACCTTGCTCCTTTCCAATCAGAGTCCATCACACTTGTTTCTTACACACGATTGGCTATAACACTGACAGAAGGCGTTACAATTTTGAACTTTGAATTTTGTAGTAAAGCTTTGTGTGATGCTGCTCCAGAGAATTGTGCCCTGAAGAGTGCACTCCGACTATGTCCAATGAGATTCTCCCCTTACACCTAACATTATGTTGTGCGCTCGTTTGGGTCGCAATGTCGTGGTGGCTCTGGTGGGCCAACGCGGTGGCGCATGAGGTTTTGGTAGCACCCATCACAAACGCAAAGTGCTAAAGCCGCCACTTCAGCACTTGCGATAGGTGCCACCAAGACGTCTTGCGCCACCGCCCGCGCAACCACGTGATCACACCGGCAGGGAGGTGTACGGCACCGACACAGGCTGGATGGTGGAATATGAGATGACCAATTTCATTGGGTTAGTAGACAAGTGGTGAAATGAGACCTGTTAGAATTGTCCGAGTCCTGAATACCAGATCACATGATCTTGCTCTCATACACAGCCTACAATTATCTCAAGGCTCCTTGCATCAACCGTCATCACAGGAATATATCGCAACAGGGCGTGATGAATCTACGCAGGGATTTTCGTGATTTCACCGCATCTGATTGGACAAAATTAGACAATTTTGAATTCGCAAGGTGACCTGCCTTGCGAATTCCAAAAAGAGGCAGACACATGAAAAATGAAAATCATCAATACAAACTTGAAGATATATTTAATTGAAACTATACAATTTCAGAATTATTTATGGAATTCGCAAGGTGGTTCACCTTGCGCTTCATACAAAATTGCCTATTTCACCTTGCTTTTTCTGGTTAATGTATTAATAATTGTATTTTGACGAATGCCACTTGTAGATCCCGAATGTCCTTGTAGAAATTGTAGAAAGGAGGATAAACAGACATTTGAATGACGATATTGCACCAGCATAGGGTTACGAGATGCATGTTGCAATTTTCGCATCGAATGATGATTTGAACCAATGATAGGGAATCCAAAACAACTAAGTCGTCATTCTTTGCTCTGAATGCCTGTTTTGGATGTCAGATTCAACAGCCTACATCCATTTACATTTCAAAGAATTTGTATATAGCAGTATGCTGATAGGGTGGTCAAACAAGATCCATTCAAATCAGAGCGGATCGGTTACTATTGGTGGCGATATCCTCGCTCAAAGATAGCAAATTATGAATTCCGCGAAGATTCGAATATTCGTGAATCTTCATGAATATATTGGCTATTAATAGTATGTTTCGAGTTTATACTATAGTAAGGTAATGCATCAATTGTTGACACAGCATCAAATTATGAGACTGTCTGACTTTTAGCCAATAGCATCTCGATATTTCGTGTTGGCCTTGTATGATTGGATATGATAATATTCGTCTCTATATTTTATTACATGTCTCAATGCTGAAGTCTAGTCAGTTTTTTTCAATCTCAAATAAAAAAATACAAGTATCTAAATAGAGTGTCAACTAGAAACACTTGACACTGTCCCGCTATACGAGCGTTACGGCAGTTGTGCATAGCTACGTGATGCATGGAAGTACTCACTTTAGAGCCATCGCTATTATAGACAAAGAAGCAGCAGTGTATTGCTCGTCGCAACGAGTGGATGGCCTCCACTATGCTGCTACTGTTGTGATCAACGTCAGTGAATTAAAATGTGGCTGCATTGTTTTAATCTGACTAATTAAATTCATGAATTAAAATGTGACTGCATTGTTTTAATCTGACTAATTAAATTCATGTACATTTTTATTACGTATTGCAAAATGCATGCAATTATATTTTTGATCAAATTATTTTGCATATCAATTTAATCAAATACAAACATCAAGGTTTTTAAAGGGTGTCATGAATTGATTCACCTCAAAAGTCGTGACCATAAAGCTCAAATCATTTAATTTCGATACAAATCTGAAATGTAGTCTAATCGTGCTCAATGATACATCAAAAAAATGGTGGCGTTTTATATTCTCTTGTGGTGCTATCAGCATTAAAATAATCGTTCTCGTTCTCGAGCTACTGGGATTTGAAGTCATGGCCAAAACTTGACCAAAAACAGTGTCAACAATTGATGCATTACCTTAGTAGATACTACGTAGTACTAGTTTTATCCGCATACTTCGGATAACCGATTCCACTTGCAAACCAACAAGCGTCAGCGACAAATGCTAATTCCTCGTCCGACAGGGTAACTATCAAGCGGTTTCTTCACACGAATGGATTAATTCGTAGAATGCCATTTGACTGTGAATACCATATTTCCATCATCTCCTTGTGTTTATTGTAAATCGCCTAACGTTACATACATTCACCACGACATACATTCTACACCTGTGATGGCAGTTGCATTAAGATAATATGTATGCTGTGTATGAGAGCAAGATCATGTGATGTGATATTCAGGACTCGGTCAATTCTAACAGGTCTAGACTTCAGTCACTTCACCACTTGCATACTAACTCAGTGGATGTGGCCATCCCTCATTCCACCATCCAGTCCGTGTCGGTGCCGTACACCTCCCTGCCAGTGTGATCACGTGGCTGTGCGGGCGGTGGCGCAAGACGTCTTGGTGGCACCCATCGCAAGTGCTGAAGTGGCGGCAAGGTATCTTGCGCCACCGCGCTGGCCCACCAGAGCCGCCACGGCATTGCGACTGGAGTAACCGCGCCTATCTTCCGGTTTCTATCCGGATGATTTCTCGACATCTGGTCTGTCCCTCAAGATACCTTTATTACTCGACACTTCGTCAGTCCAAGGTATGTATCCTCTCGAAGATACCAAGGTGTTCTCTCGAAGATATCTACCCTTTGTACATCAACGAAACAATGGTTATTGATAGCGTAGCGAAAAAGATTATTTTCGAGCAAACGATGGATTATAGCGAGGCCTCAGAATTGACAGTGAGCATTTCGAGCAAAGTTGGGCCTCTGAAGCACTTTCGCAGCGTACTTAATAGGAACATAAGGATGTGTTTTCCTTGCGATAAATTCCGAGTAAAATTCGACATATGACAATAAAAATACCTTACATAGTAACCTCTCATACATTCACAGTGAAAATCCCATTGCGATTTACGTATCCTACATTAGGGATTGCTAGGTTAGGGTCAGCTTGGTAAAAATGTGTAAATGTGTAAATTACAAAACATATGGACGGAAGTATTAAGTACGCTCGGAAAGTCTCCCTTAAATGCTCCGTCGTTTGATCGCACCCATACTGTGGCGTAGGAGTCTTAACGCTATCAATTCATTCTTCATTCTACAATCTCCTGCGCATTCCTCTGCGCACGCTCACAATCGACCTCGCACCACTTCGTTCTCTCGTCATGACTCTGGTTCCCCAACGTCCTCTTGGCTCGCAAGGCCTCGTCGTGTCTGCGCAAGGGCTTGGCTGCATGGGTATGACTGCATTCTATGGCAACTTTGACCGTGCAGCGCAAGAAGCCGAGTCACTGCTCACGATCTCCAAGGGTCTCGAGCTC